GTCTCAGTCACTCTGGGGACAGGACTTTCCTCTAATTGGAAAGGAAGGCTGGTGAAAGGCAGTTACCATCATCTTTCTTCTTCTCCCTTCCCATCTCCCCACGGAGAACAGGCACCAACAGCAGGGCTCAAGAGAAGGCCCAGAGGCACTGGCAGGTAAACACAATTTTAGACCAAAGATTATGCATGTACAAGGAAGAAGCTAGTGCTGACTTTCCTGCATGCTGCTTGGCCTGTCTTGTCCTCTGAGAACCTGACCCCACCTATTCTCTTTGTAGGCATTGAAACACCAAGCACCACCTCAAGTTCAGATCCTGTGCTAGAATCCAATGATGCTCCTGTCAATGTCACCATCACAGTGACTGCAACACCATGAGGTCAAAGAGGAAGGGGTAAACAGGTTGGGGAGGGCAGGTGACAGGTGGAAAGGTCCGGTTAGACATTCATCATAAAACCAAGGTGGCTAAGACATTAACTACCCTTTCCTCACTTAGTATCAGATACCAATTTCTCCTTTCCCATTTAATACCCAGACTCTCTAACTGGTGCAAGAGTCCAGCTGCAGGGTCCCAAGTGACTTAGTTACAAGAGAAGTCCTGGCCCAGCTACAGAAGTATGAGCAACTTACGCTACTTCCAGAAAAAAAAGGCGGGGGTTGGGAGGGGCTGTGGACTGAGCAATTCCTAAATAAATCATAGTTAACTTTCTCACTAATTGAGGGTTACTTCAATTGCATCTTGCTCAGGGAAAGGGTGATTGCTGGGCCCACATTTGGCTGGTGGGAAGAAGCAGGGTGCATAGGTTGTGTTGGTTCAAATGCAGCTTAGGAGCATTTCTGTCCCTGCAGTGGTATTCAAGAAGCGGAGTCCAGTCACTAGGCCTGGGGGAGCTGGATGACAGAGAACAGGGGCCGTTCCAAAGTCACACTCTGTCAGCTGCCAGCATGAGTCACTGGCTCCAAGTGTGTATGTGTGTGTGTGTCTGAAATCTGGGTGAAAGACAAGTGAACGCTTGTTCAGCTGACTTTGAGGAGTCAGGACTTGGAGCTGCCTCCTCAGGGGACTCAGATGAGAAAAAAACAGCTACAGAGCCAAGGATGATCTGCCAGCAATAGGGAAAGTGGCGCCTGACAGGAGACAGAAAACTGAGAGAAACTTAAGAAGCCTCTTTGCTTCTCATAGATTTCGACTTTATTAGGAAAGGGATCTCAGCTTCCCTCAAAGCTCTGAGGACTGGGGCTAATATTTAAAGAAGGCTTATTTAAGTATGAAAAATAAAATACAAAAGGGCCACACCCAACTAGGTTTTCTGGTGAGAGAAGCCTAGAAACTTCCCTTTTTTCAGGACAGTGAAACAAACACCTCTTTTGAGGTGGCTGTATTTCTATCCTGGAGTTCATTCTCTTAGCTGACAGAGTGGCTCAAGTGGTAGAGTGCCTGTCTAGCAACCATGAGACCCTGAGTTCAAACCCCTCTGCTGCCAAAACAAACAAATAGAAAAACAACTCATAGATGTGGCCCTAGGTTAATAGTAAAAAATAGAAGATGTGTGAGGAAAAACCTTCTCTCTCACCCACCATCCTCTCTTCCCTCCAAAGCTGTGACCCTGTGGGTCCTCTGCCTCCACACAGAATTTCTTCAGCCTTCCCATCAAACACTTGCCCAAGGTCCTGATTCTTCAGGTCCTTGTTCTTTACTGTCAGAAAGCAAGGAATAAGTTATGGACTCTGTACATGGGATTTCTAGGGGAGGGTGGAGGTGGAGGTTCCAGAGAATTTCAGAATAAAATATCACACCCATCACAAACTACAAGGTCACATTGTACAAACAGGGAGTATCTGACCATCTCCATATTCACAGGCTACTCCACATGAAAGCAGCATTCTCTTTTAATATAAAATCATTATCAACCAAATAAAACCTGTCAAAGCTACATTACTTAAAATATGTACAATTTCAAACATAATATTACAACTTCAAGGAAAATAAAACATGCTTTTCAAAATGTTACAACACATGCATCTCAGAGTCACTGTTTTAAAACAGAGCGACACAGGTCAAATTCAATTACTAAGGTAACTCTCTGACAGTACTGTGGCTGGAATGAGATAGGTGACATGATCAGTCAGGTATGAACCTTGGTCTTCAGAGACTCATTCATTATACAGAAACAAAACTCAGAAGAAATGCTTTCTGAAAAGACCACTTTAAAGGTTTAGAAGATTGCAATTTAATTTGTACCCTATATAGCACCTATCACCAGATGGTCAGTGGATAAGTGAAAGAAGAAAATCAGAGGGAGATGATGAAATGATACAAAAGGAGTGGTAGAGATTTAATGCTACAAAAAAGAATCACATAGAATTCTAGGATGAGTGGACCAAGAAGAGGCCTGACCAATTTCTTGATCATTGAGTCAAGAATTTGATTTTGAGCTGAAGATCAAATTCTCCAGCATGGGGCGGAGGCATCAAGGGGAGAAGCAGTGAACTCTTGAAAACTAAGTACCAGGCAAAAAAGAGCTCTGCCCAGGTGGATCAGAGGACAGGTAGCTTCTCTGACTGCAGATTATGAGCTTTGGGGAATTATGCAGCAGGGGTGGACAACAGCACTCATTATGGGACTAGTTCTCTCTAAAGAGTGAACCACAAAGCTTCTGGAAAGCACTATGGAAAAATGGCAGGCACATAGATTATGACTCCAGATACACTGGGTTCCAATGTAGGCTCTGTGGCTTATTGTGTGACTTGGGAACTTCATACCTACTATGTTGTGAGGGTTAAATGAGATAACAGTAACAAGCACCCAGCACAGTGCCAGGTACACAGCACTTCCTCCACAAATGTTAGCACTATCCCCCACATTGTCCTATGGCCACTTATTTCCTGGAGAAGTGACACTAGGTAGAACTTTTTCTGGTGACTGTGCAGGGCATGAAAATTCTGAGCAACTCACACTAAAGAAGAACTCATAATTCCTAAACATAAAGGCAATTATATATATTTATATTTATATATCTCAATATATAAAGGCATTTTTTATAAATAAAATACAATAAAAAGGATAACACTTAAAACAGCGTTACTAATAATATAAATAAAGCAGTCCACAATGAGATTGCCCTAAAGGTAAAGTCATTTTCTCTTCCTTGTGGACAAGTCCCATATTCGAACTCAGTCTTTAAAAGCACTTTCTGACCTAAGGCTTATGCTAACACACCTCTGTTTTGTAAGCCAAAATGACTGCCTGTGGGCACCGACTTCCTAGTTTCCTAAAACTCTCTCTGTGACAGCATTGTTGTAACGTGATTGGCAAAAGCCAAGGTATGTTTTCATGTTCTGTCTCCTAGGACTTGGATCTCTGCTAGTCACAATAGTTAAGGGCTGAGCTTTCCCCCTCCAATGGTAATTGCAACTAAGCAATATGAAGAATCAACCTTGTATACAACAGACACTGACGTCTGGATCTTAGAACTTGCTTTTATACCAGCGCTAATATCCTCCTATGGAATAACATCCACTACATTCTACTGGAAGCAACTCTTGCAGAGTGGCCAGGCTGAAACAGCACATTTTTACTAACAGTTCTATTTCTAAGAGATGTAGACATATGTTAGGGAATACTGATGTATTTATATAGAAATTGATTAATATAGCATCCTATTATCCTATTGAACTGTAATTCTGGGAAGCTAATTTTTTAAACTTATGCTGGAATTACTTAATTCCACACAAATAGAATAATTTTTTTGTTTCTTTCCCCAAAGGGACACACAATCAAAAAGGAACAGTGATCCACCAGAGCTGTGAAATGCATTTATAGTGCCTATAATAAATTTTGTTGCTTTTAAAAATGGAGAAGAAAAGCCTTCCAAAGGCAGCTGCAACATCCTTGTCACTCAGAGACAGCAGTAACTATGATGCGTGAGCACTGCTGACCAAGATTTCAGGTGCTTGTTTACAATGATGTGTTCTGAAGAAATGACAGGAAACTTCCCCCAAATACCCTTTTTCTCCAAATTAAGCCCTTCCTGACAGGATCCCCAGGGTCTCCTAAATGCCCATGTGTTGAAGGCTTGGTCCTTAGGTGGGTACTACCGGCAGATGGTGGAACCTTTAAGAGTTAGGGAGTAGTGGGAGGTCTTTGCATTACTGGGGGGTGTGCCCCCGATGGGACTGCTGGGCCTTAGCCCCTCTCCTTCCTCCTTTTGCTCTATGGCTTGTGATATAAACATTTTGCTTCACCATGCACTCCTGCCATGCTGTATTGCCTTATCATAGACCCAAAGCAAGGGAGCCAAATTGATCATGGACTGGAACCTCCAAAACTGTGAGCCAAAATAAACCTTTTCTCTTTATAAGTTGTCTCAGGTATTTTGTTATAGTGGCAGAAAGCTGACTTACATGCTGATTCACATCTTCCAGGATGTTGCCCATATTGGAAGTGAGAAAATGACTATTTTCCAGTGGTGTGGCACCATGAACATAACCCTGTGGAACAGACTGAAAAGCTTCTGCTAAATCAGGTCCCTACATCCCTCTCTTTTCTTCTTAAAATGTGTACCTTTCTTCTCAAGTCAACACTTTAAAAGACTTACTTTGTACCTACCCTTAGAAATAGTCAAGAAGAGTCCCATGGTGACCATTTTATAAACTAATGTAGTTTTAAGGCAGTGGGATACCAAGGCATTAATTTTCTCTCTGGCCTAGTTCCCTTTCTACATACTGCAACAATCCAACCAGACCTTACACTCAGAACACTGGCTAATAGTTAGTGCTTAGAAGACTGAACATTACTTGTGTCCATGTTCAGACAGAAAGTAAGTCAGCAGGTCACGTTAGCACTTCCAATTTTGTGGAAGGCACTCATAAAATTCAGCAGCCAGATCTGCTATTATAAACATTAAGTCACAACTGTGGCTGATTTCAAAATGTTCTTAGAAAGTCTGATAATACAATATTGAATGAAAGTTTTCCATCTGAAAATGTGACTAGTGGCAAACTCCTAGCTGAATCAGCCAATAGACCAGACCCATGGCACGAGTTCCTACTGTCACTGAGGGTTTTGGAAAACATGGAATGATCCCTCCACTCTCCAGACGATTAAAAACTATGAAAAACAAGGTTGTTTCCTATTGAGAGGGAAGGAAGAAATAGGGAAGGAAAAATTTAAGGCATAAATAATATAAAAGGACACACATTTTAAGATACATTCATGACATTACTACTACAAAAAATAAATAATGAATTTCTATGATTTGAATTAATGTTATTCACACAGTTCATCTCCAGGCCTGTTCTGTGAAGTTCTATGAAGTCTTGCAATGGAACATGACTAGGCCTGTGCACATCCTCAGGTTTCCTGGGGTTGCTGAAGGACCCCTGATGGGCTGTCCAAAGGAATGACAGGAGGAGACCATGATGTCTTCTCAGTACAGTCCTCTAACACAGGTGACAAAACAAGAGGATTCCAACTTAAAATTTTGTTCTCTGTGTCTGAATGGCCACTTCTGTCTCCTGAAATACAGAAAGGTTTGGGGACATTATGAAATGATAAAGACTGATTATTGCATAGTAGTCTACAAGTATATTGAACAATAAAGAAAGAATTATGAGCAAAAGTAGAGTCCAATTATATTTGATATGAATTTGAGGGAGACAGTAGGTTTAAAAGGTTTAAAGTAAGGTTGAGCTCTCATGAGAGCTCATATAATTCATCTGGGATTCAAACAATGCCCTAAAAGACCCAAAATATCCACCTTAAAGAAAGGTTACAACTCTAGAACAAACTCAAATAAAAAAGAAACCTATGTTCACAAATGCATTCTCCAAGCAAGTCTTCTACTTAGGTACAAACTGAATCCAAGCCTATTTGGATTCATTATCCTACGTGTCATGGGATTAACAGCCTGGGATGAAGGATGTGATAACAGAATTGTAAAGAGTCTTTTATCTGTCCTATCATTTCTTAAGGTATCCAACACCCATGCCCAGTCATCTAAGAGTTACCTGAGCTGATCACAGGAAACTCTCCCTAATATAGTTCTCAGCTGACTGAAGACCATCTGAACCCTAAGGTTTAAAACGCCCGCCTGTACCTCTGTTCAACTCTGCTGTACCTTCCGTGGAATCAGAGTTGATGTCATTTATATCATCCTGACAGCAGGTATGCTGGGTAGATGCCACGCTGTCCTTGATGTTCTCCTCTGGTAACTGGCCACAATCAGGGATTGCAGAAGCCAGACACACAGGCATCTTGATGGCACTGAGGGGCTTCATTTCCAGACCGTCCTGAGGGTGAGGTGCTACCACTGGAATCACAGGAAGGGCACTGCCGCTCAAAGTGCTGTTGGTTTTGGTGAAACACCTACAGAGTTCACAACAAATGAAATAGAATTGTGTCTAGGGGAAATCAATATTTAAAAGGGTTATTTTGAAGTACCATTTGACATTTTGTACTCACAGATTATTAAGAAACACTGATTCTTAAAAATAACTACATGATTCATTATGATTTGAAATATCAAGAACTTGAACGTTATGGTTTCAGTGGATACAACAGGAGAAATCACCAAATGGCAAACCACTTAAGAACAGAACCGCTCATATCTCAACCTACATGCTTCCTTTTAGTCCATAGTCAGAAGTCATCTCCCATTTCATTATCAGCTGGTGCCCAAATATGGAACATGATGGGAGAAGCTATTAGCCAGGGGAAGGAATAAGGAAGAAAAAGAGCAAGGAGGACAGAAAGCTAAGAAATTTATGCTTTGAAACCAGAGATGTTCTCCCTCATCTTTGGAAAAAACACTATACAGACTATAGTTTCCAAGAGTTTTTTGTTTTTTCATTGTAGAGTTAATTGCTAGTCTTAGCAACATTTCAATTTCATTCTTTTATTTCCTGCCTTCAGCTAAAATGTGTGATTTAATTTTTTTTTCTTTCTGTTGTTTTAACTAGATAATTTCTGTTGAACTATCTTCTACTTCGATGATTCTTCTGTTCTCTCCAATCTGCTGCTAATCTCATCAAATAAAATTCCATTCCAGTTATATGTCTCAGCTCTGGAATTTCCATTTGGACTCTTTTTCTTCAATCTCTGTTTCTCAGCTGAAATTTCCCATATGTTCATTTATTGTGTGTAAATTTTCTTTTAGGTTTTTGAGCATATTTATAACAGTTGCTTAATGTCATTGTCTGCTAATTGTGACATTTGAGTCATCTCAGGGTCTGTTTATATTAATCTTTTTCCCTCTTGGGAAAGTATCACATTTTCCTGTTTACACACACACACACGTATATGTAAATTATATATAGATGCAAAAATTTTTACAACTACTTAGCTAAACAAATGTAAATAATTTTATTACATTACTTTTAGTTCAATTTCAGATGTGTACACGTGTCAGTGTAATAATGGCTTTAACTTGTTGGGGCACGGGAGTCATATGTGGAAATACAGGTACACAGGACATAGTTTATAAAAAAGGGATACAATCTCTGTTCAGATATAACTAGTATAGTACGAACAATTCTTTCACTGATAATGCTTTAATGAAAATTTTAAAACACTCAGATGATCACAAAGATAATATCTGTATGTATATATAAGGGGTAGGCCAGCAAACTACATACACAGTGGCAAGAGGAAATGCTAGAGGTGACCTGAATATTAAACTACCACCAAGATGTAACTACTTCAGTAGTCTCCAGAGGACTTGCACAAAAATAACTATCACAAAGCCAAGAGATTCATGGATAGTTAGTCCTTGCCCCAAGTACAACCAAAAGAGGTAACTTGGGTTGGGGGTGTAGTTCAATGGTAGAGTGCTAGCTTAGCATGCATGAGGCCCTGGGTTCAATCCCAGCACCACAAGAAAATAAAAGCGGGGAGGGACTTCACGCAAAGCTTATATAATCCTTTAATCAGAATAACTCTGTCCATAATTATGCTTAACAAATACTCAACTATGTAATCAGAAATGATATACTTCTCTAGAAACTATTTCAGATATGCTCTATACTTTACTGAAAGCCAAAAGTAGTTTTGGTAGTTGACTAAACATACTTAGCAGTATGAGTTTTCTAAGTACACCTACACAATTCCAGTGTCTCATTTCCTAGTGTGCTGTGGGGATGGTTAGCTAAAGAATACTTTAGTATTTTCTGTGATGCTGTAATAGAGCCATTTTCCTATCTTACAGGTTTTTAAACAGGCCAAAAGGTTATCTTAGAAAGATGACAGGTCCAAACCCACTTGAGTTCTTAAAGACAGCATAGATTTTTATATGTGGCAAGATGCACAGACTACCAGCAACAAGATGTTAAAACTGAGAAAAGTAGTTTCATTGAGCTAGAGATAATTTGATGAAACCATTAGCACCACCTTAAGACACTAATATAACTATATTTGAAAGAAAGTTTGTGAAGCCTAACACAGGAAAGTTATAAACTGTATTGTATAAACTGCCATGTGAGTTTTACGAGCATCTCACTAGATGTCATATATTTACTCATGTTTGTCCTGTTCTCTTTCATTCTTTGTTGATTCAGGTCTTATATAAAAGTTCTATGCAACAGAATCCTGATGATATTCCTCCAGTGCCACAACTGTCCATTCTTACTGTCCTCACTGTTAGATGCTTCAATGACCCCAGCATTAGAGGGGGAGTTTCCTTTGGGATTTAATTTACCAGTGATCATTACATTGAAGGTGACAATAAACACTGGGGGAAAATAAATGACTGAGTGCTTCAGTGAACATGGCAAACTGATCCATAGACAGACCCAAAGCACTGTGTCCTGCCAACAGACCCTTAGTCTCTGCATTAGAAATAGGAGACAGATTTGGAAAGAAAGAAGGTACTGAGTGATTTAAAAATTGAGACACAGGACTCTGATTTTTTTCCTTAAGAACTAGGTAGGTAACCATAGGGTGAAGAGAAGTGTAATCTTGGGCTTTGTGTGTTTTCTTCCTTTTGCCTTATGGGTGGGTTCTGAAGTAGCTAAGTGGTCAGAAATAGTGAAGGACTGATTTGTGACAAAATGACCTGCTAGAAGAGAGTTTAAGTATGCCAGGCAATTAATAAACCAACTGGGTAATCAAACCCTTAGCTTGAAAGGATCCCCACGATAACTACATGTTCTCTGTTTATCTCAGCATCCTATTTTCATGAAAACATTGACATCAGTTGTGAAAAAGCACTCCTAAATCTAAGAGCATGCAGATTTTTAAGGTTATCACCATATGAAAACTTGGAGATCACTTGTAATAGCTGCATTTTCCACAGTACTATTCCAAGTAGTTATTTTTTCCTCCTCTGGACTATCAGTCATGTAGCTTTTACTTTTTATTCCCCAAATGAATTATATACATTTTTCCAATCTGATAATTTGTACTTTTTTCCCCAGATGAATTATATTCATTTTTCCAAGCTGATTTTTGCTTGGCTACTTCCTGCCCATTTCCAGTCTCTCTAGGACCCTTAAAGTTAATTTCTCATTCTTTCCTGATGGGACATCTCAGTTTGCTCATCTGTGAATTCCATCAGTGTCCTCTCTATTTTCTCTTACAAATTATCAAGACTGATGGCAAATAGACCCAATTTAATGTCAATTTCTTCCCATTAAGCTAGCCAAGCAACTGACAAACTACATTTGATTACATATCCAGAACTGCATTGCTGCATTTGAATTGAGAGGACAAAGGCAGAAAGCTTTTGCTTTATTTGATTAAAGTCTGTTTAACTCTTGAAATGCCTTAACTGCACAAAGATTTCTCAGTCAAGTCTTCAGTGTAATGGGAACGGCTCTCTGCCAACTGCATTAAATATGTTTCTTTCTAGCTTCTAATGCCAAGTTCTTACATACTACTCTTAAAACCTGAAAAGGTTAGGATTAAGAGAACACAGCAAGGCAGGCAGGCATTTATAACATGCTACAAAAGTTCCAGAATCAAATCAAACTTCCTGAGATTGCTACACTGCACACCCTCCTTTAGCTTGTTCTAACTTTTTACTATTACTGCTTCAGTTAGAACAATAAAGGCAAAGCTTCTCTCAGATAGTTATCTCTAAAACAGAAGGATGAGAAAGGGACTAAAAAAGCCCACTCCAGGAAATACGTTAAATTTTAACCTGAGGAGGCACAGAGAAAGGAAGATTGAGTAGCACGGTGCTCCGCAGGTGAGGTTCCACAGAAGGGCCCTAGTGGGACCTGCGCATTGCTTAGGTAGTTGTGGAAGACAAAAGGTGAGTCTGATGGGGAACCACCAGACAAGGGGTGGTCAGCACAGTACAAGATAGATCCTCATGGCTGTAGTGTTTCCTAACTCAATGATTGCATCCAGTTACCTAGATTAACCCTTCCCCCTTCCTTCCACCAGCCTCATGCCTTTATTCGTGTTTCAATCTTTCACACTTACCTACTGCTAAATCCTAAATCTCTCAAATTCATCAAGTTTTCTCCAAATGTACACAACTGCCCTAGTCCACTATTGTTCATCTGGCCCACAACAACTGCCATCTAACTGTACCCCCACTCTCTCAGGCCCCACCCCATTTATTCTATAAATGGCATCCAGTGGTTGTAAAATCCAGAGTCCTATCACAGCATTGTCATGCTTAAATCTTTCACTGACTCACCATGGCTCTATATGATGTGGTCACACTCACCTTTACCTCTGATCCTTTCATTTACTCCATTCCTTCTACATCAGCCTTCTAAGGAGAATTAAAGCATTCTGCTTTACAGAGATTTTGCACAAATAGTACTCTGCCTGGGAAATTCTCCTAATCTCTTCTTTTATCTAATTTTTCAAATTCTTCCAAGCTCAATAAAATGTCACTTGCTTAGGCAGGTCTTTCCTCTCTTAACACTTCCTTTAATTTTCCCTTAAAGCATCCAGTTTTAATTATACATTCATTTCCACAATTTATGTCATTTTTGAAAAAATATGTCTCCCCAACCAAACTATATACTTCATGCAGGCGGGGACAAAACCTGTTTGCTCGCTACTAGATCCTCTGCTCCTAGCTTGGTGTTGGCACACTACAGACCTTTGACAATTTTTTTTTTTGCTGGATGAATAAATGAATGAATGAATCTTCCATTTCTTTCTCACTTTCCTTTCTCTTTTATTATTCTTTGAAGGTATATCAAGATAGTAAGCAAAAAATAAAAGAGATGACATAAAAAGAATGTCTAATCACATTAAATATATAAGAAACAAAAGCAAATAAATGCCTCAAATAATTAAACATAAAAAAAATCAATCAGCCAAGGCTATTGTCTCCCTGGGTGATCTCATCTATTTTTAAATTCTATCGCTTTGATACATATGGTCCTAAATCTCTATCATGGTCCCAATCTACACCCTCACCTCAAGACCAGCATTCTTACCTATCTTCTTGATTTAGATTACAAATGGAACTTGAACTTTGAATGCCCAAGTTAAGTTCCTTAACTTTCCTCTATGTATCGTTTTATTATATATCTTATTTCTGACTACAAGTCTAGCAATTAGCAAGCAGATTATCCATATTTGAAACTTTCTGCACTTGGAACCTTCCTTTTGTTCTAGATCCCTATCAGATAAGGCCAAATCCTACAGATGCCAACTCTACAGTCTCACTCACCCCTTCTCTCCATTGCTGGTATGAAGGCTAAGGCCTTTCCTTACAGAAATGTCTAATGTTCTCCCTCAAATCCAACCTATGCCCTTCTACCATTCATTGAGCCAAACATATCTCTGAACAGGTCATGCTTCTTCTCAAAAAGATTCACACGAATTAGGATGCTACCAGCCCAGTGTTTCTCAACATTTAATTAATTCATGCTTACTTCTGATTAATGTGAAAATCTCACACCCTTCTGTACTTTGTATTACAGAAATGGGTATTTTTTATTCTGTTCCTTAAATATAAAATGCCAAGATTCAACATGCTTCTTCAAACTCTACTTCTGGCACTGTCTAAGAATCATTACTAGCAGACTGTGGGTTCTCTGAAGATAGAGCTTGGATCAATACCTAGTACACGGCAGACACTCAATAAATGGTTAGTATTAAATAGACTTCTAAACCCTGATGTTAAGTGTCATGAACGCCATAAATGCGGTCTAGTTTTCCAGTTTTGTATCCTACTCTCTACTAGACATTTAGCCTACCAGTCAAACTATCCCAGTGGTTCTCAAAGCATGGCCATCCCAGGATCACCAACATCAGCATCCCTGGGGAAACTCATTACAAATGCATATTCTCAGGCCCCACTCCTAGGTTTGCTGAACCAGAAACTCCAGGAGTAGAGCCTAGTAATTGGTGTATTTACAAGTGCTCCAAGTGACTCTAATGCATGTCACAGAATTTGACTACTTATGTAAGCATTATCCTTCCCACTTCCATGACTACTTTTGTAATTCATTCTATGCAGAAGCACTTCAGAAACCATTCTGTGACTGGTTAGTGTTAGTGTTTTTTCACCAACTAGCCCAAACTCTATAATGCCCACTTGACAGCCCTCATATAACTCAATTGGAGTCATGCTTTTTTTATGTACACACTATTTTGGCTGGCATTAGGAAATGCAAATTTATTCTTGGTTAATAATGTTGATATAAAATGGTAAACGGTATAATTTTGCATATTTTGGATGCAAGTCATTGATCATCTAACTCTCAGTATTCAAAGCTTATTGCAAATTTTACCATTTTGAAGAATAATGAGAAAAGAGTTACTGTAATGGTTAGTTTTGATTGTCAACTTGATTGAATCGAGAAGTGCTTAGAAAATTAGCAAAGTACACTTCTGGTATGTTTCTGAGGGTGTTTCCAGAGATTAGCAAAGGGGGAAAGACTTTCCTTGAATGTGGGTGGTATCATCCAATAGGCTAGGGGTCTGAATGGAATAAAACTGGGAAGAAGAAGAAAGTCCACTAATACAATCATGGTCTCTATTTCCTGTCTACCATGAGGTGAGCTGCTCAGTTCTACCATATGTTTCCCACCATGATGTTCTGCCTCACCATGGCCCAGGAACAACAGATCCAAATGACCATGAACTAAAACCTCTGACAACATGAACCAAGGTAAATACGCTCCTCCTTTTAAATTGTTTCTCTCAGGTATTTTGTCACAGCAATATAAAACTGACTGACATTTCCCATTCCAAAGTCAAGCGTTAGTAGTCTGAAATTTAATAATTCTAGATTTCCAGTGCTCAAAGTAGATACTTACTTATACTTACCTGTTCAATTTTTTTAAAAAATAATTTTTTATAGTGCTGGGGATCAACAAAAAAGAAACCCAGAGTCTTGTGCATGCTTAGCAAGGGCTCTACCATTGAGTTACACCCCCTAGTCATTTTCTTTAGTCAAGGGCTCACTATGTAGCTCAGGCTGGCTTTGAACTCATGATCCTCCTATCTCCACCTCTGGAGTGCTAGGATTGCAAGAATGCACCACCATACCTGGTGTATTCAATTAGTAAGTGCCAAAATCACTTTGTGGATCCTGGGAACCAGGGGAGAAATTTGGTTAACCTTGAAGACAATGCAGGCAAGACTTGCCCTAAACTAGTAAGTTTCCATGCAAGCAGAATATTCTGGTCTGGAGGACCAGAAGCTGGTTTTCCCAAGCTGAAGTAAATTCACTGAAGTTCCCAAATAGCAGAAAAACTCACAAATTTGAAATATAGGAAGTTACTAACTTGAAAATTAATAGAAACGCAATTCTATTTTCTAAAGGGAAAAAGTCATGTATAATAAAAACCACCAAACACTATATACTCATACTTACATACATACAAAAGGCCATAAATTTAAAATGGCAGAAGTTGTCTGACCCTTTTAAAGGAAATGGAATGTATTTTTGGTAGTAAGATGATACTTCATCATACAGACACGATTTTACCAAAGTGTACAATCAGATTATGTTTGGAGAAATCTTCTATTACTTAGAACAATCTTTCATTTTTCACATAAGGAAAGAGCCTCAGAGATATTATACAACTCCCCACAAGACAACAGTTTTAAGAAGCAGAAAAGCCAAGGACTACTTAGTCTTAGACCAAAGGTCTTCTCATTCTGTCCTGTAGGGAAAGTCAAGATAGCCATAAGAACCATAAAGAATAACACAGTATGCTTTTATGCCTATTACAATTAATCCACTTTATTCATTACCAAGTGTTATGAATCAGCTTCACCAGTTCTTTAGCATGTTTTCCTAACAAATTATGGTAGTCTATATGACATGCTCTAGACAAAAATGTGGCTTTGATGTATGAGCATTTTAAAAATAAGAGTCATATAGAATTTAAGTATGTAAAGGTAACTCTTAGTACATGCAACAGGCAGGTGGCTCTTGCTAATATAGAAATCCTAAGATGGGTTAAATAAATGAAAACAAAAAGTCTTAAAGACTTTTTGTTCTGAGACTCTCCCAAAACACATGCTGAAAAAAAGGAACTTTTTTTCCCCCCCAGTGCTGGGGATCAAACCCAGGGCCTCAGCATAAATTAGTTGTGCTTTTTTCTCCTTTTTGTGGTGCTAGGGATCAAACCCAAGGCCCCACATATGCTAGGCAAGCAGCTCTACTTAGCTACTACCTCCAGTTCTTACTTTTTGCTTTTTGAAACAAGGTCTCACTACGTAGCTCATGTTGACCTTGAACTTAAGATTTTCCCACACCATGCAGGCTTAAAACAATGTACCTTATTATTTTATTTTTGCGGGGGGACTGGAGTTTGAACTAATGATCTGACACTTGCAAAGCAGGTGCTCTACCACTTGAGCTACACCTCCAGTTATTTTAGAAATGGAGGTCTCATGAATTATTTGCCCAAGCTGGCCTCAAACGGTGATCTTTCTGATCTCAGCCTTCCAAGTAGCTAGAATTTCAAGTTTGTACCACTGGCCCCTGGCTGAAACAATGTACTTTAAATTCTATGGTTAACTAGATCTTTCTTCAAGGTCTGGTTTCAGTAACTCCCAGAGACAACTCAACCTTTAAATTCATTAAAAAAATATAGATAAATCCTTTTTCAATAACAAAATATCCAAACTCTATTCCTTATTCCAGTCATTTCCTGTACGAACTATAATACAATGCTTTTGTTTATAGAATTTTAGAGGTAGGAAGGACCATTATTATGTAAATGAACTAAAATTTCTGATGCAACTTTAATACAAGAAGTTTCATAATCCTTTTGTAATTCATATGCAGAGAGGTAAGATGAAAGTTTTGTGATTTATGTGTCAAAGTTTAGATAGTACAAGCTGGCCTTGAACTCATTATGTACTCTAGGCTGGCTTCAAACTGGTAATCCTCTGGCCTCAGCCTCCTGAGTGTTGGGATGATACATGTGCTTCTATGTGTCAAAATTTAAAAGCATCTATCACTCTACACAGTACATCTTGCTTGAAATATTGAGTGTACATCACTTTTTAAATTAAAAAGTGAAAAAAGTCAGCAAAATTATGCTAGTTAATTCTTTTTTAAGATTTTAAGGATAAAAAATTGGATAATCTTGTAGAAAATTTCAGTAACACATTACTATATACATGGTAGTTCTGTGTATGTGTGTTTTCCTTATCACTCAAATATGATCACATTTACCTTCTCAACATTCCAACTAGAGTGGAAAATAACAGGTGAGAAAAGATAAAGAATGTATACAAAGAATGCTTCTACGTTTGAATAATATTTCCATGAGAAACAAAGTCTTTAATGTTGTCATTATTAGTCTAAAGAAACTGAGGCACTGAAAGATAAAAATTATAAAGCAGAGCAAAAAAAAAAAAAAAGCCTTTAACTTAAGGCTGCAAATTCTGAGTTTTCTGTCTTAGGTAAAAATTTCAGGAACTTCCTTTGTTGAAGGAAAACAATAAAAGGACACATATGGCTTACGAGAATTTGTTTCAGCACATATTAACTTACCTATTGTTGTTCCGACAATTGCGACAGTTAATGCATTCCAGAGGGTCAATCTGAGGGACTACTGTGTACCTTCCTCCACCCTGGTCAGGAAGGAAGTTATAGGAAAAAGAAAAGAAGAACAAGCTGAAAGTATGACAGACCGTGAGTATGTGATACATCTTAATGTACTCCCTAAGAGATGATGTGCTTATTATTTATTATTCCTGAATGATTTCTGTAAAATATTAAACTGTACTCCAAAAGCTTAACTACCCAGTTTTTCCATGTTATTTCTGTACTAGAAAAGGCAAATAAATGAAGGGAGAAGATTAGTCATTTCCCTTCAGTGTTTCAAATCTAATGGATCCAAAATATATCATATATCATAACCTCCTATTCATCTTTCTGTTTCTAGCAGTCATGGAAAAATTTTCTGTGATGCCAGTTGAAGAAATAGGGTGTGAAGTCTGTATGATGTCACAAGATCAACTCATCTTCATTTTCCTGTAATTATTTTCAATTAGGTCTGTTCACTTGACTACATTGAGTATTAAAATATGTCATATTTTTCCAGATGGAATAGTTTCTCAGCCAGCAATGACTTGGATGGGAGTATTAATATTTTCTTGTTGCTTTTGGCGGAAACTGCCCAGCAATGAAAGAAAATGCCCAAATTAACACATACCTCATTGTAAAGTGTTCACTTGACATACAGAATGGTAAACATGAAGTAAAAAATTGTCCCGGCCTTAGAGTCAGAGTCAGTTCTGCTTTCTGGTGAAAAGCAGCAGAACTGAATTTGGTAAGGGTGGGAAGATGTTGTCGCATTGCACCCAAGCCCAAGGCCTGCCTTCGAGGTTAGGAAGAGTTCAAGCAATTGTTTTTCCTAGAACACTTTCCATTTCCATTCATCTCGTAACAATAGCCAGAATCGAAGCTAACCAAAAGACTGAAAATTTTCTGATCTAACTAGCAGCAGGAATTATTAAGAAAACATAGAGGAAAAGAACATTTTTACATTATATTCACTCCATGAGAGTGAATTCCAAAAGTCCAGAAAATGAAGCTTACATCCTACAAGGTGTTGAATTTATGTGAATTACTAAACATGCTAAAATTACTTTAAATATTTTAATGATCATTAGCATTTAAAATTTTCCCTGTTTCTTCCCACCCAGAAGAGAAAGAAAGCTAATGTGTTAAAATCGCAGATGATAACTTCTAAAACTGTGTACCTAATAAGGCAACTATTATTTAAATAGCAAGTCATTGTTCAGAAGACAAAGTTCCTCGTTCAAAGCATTGAGTCTAGCTAGTTTTTCTTCTTATGGAAACAGCATGTGCTATTCAAACTTTAATGCTTTCTCCTTCAGTTTTCTTGGTCAATGTTAGTACCTTAGACTAGAAATGGTAACAAAGAAAGTTTAGAAAATCTGAATATAAGCCACATCTTCCACAAAATAATGAAATCATTATTCTCTTTTGGTAATGAGATGCACTAAAGCAAATTAGATATTTTTTATATAACATACAAAAACTCAGTCACATAAAAGCCATAGGTTTTTAGCTTTAAGATAAAAACATATATATATATTTAAGATAGAAACATATATGTGTGTATATATAAAACAATTTTGTTCTCCAAATGCAACATTTTAATAAATATTAAAAATGAAGATAAAAATCTTGTAAGCTTCTTCAAATCGTAGCATACTGTGGTTGCTGGAAAATTCATCTGCAATCAGAACAGTGACAAAAACTAACTGGATGTTTAATCCAATCAATTAAACAAATCATCTATGATTAAAAATAATGTGGCTATATATTCAAAGAATGCAATATATAAAACTTCTGTCTACAGAGAGCCTTTCAACAAGCATACATATAAAATATACTAGTCATTATATTTCTGCTTCAAAAATTAAACCATGTTGGCTAGTTATCACTGAATAAGGAATTTTTAAGGGTTTGCCATTCCTTGTAGCTAAAAAAGATAATAATATTCTAAAATGCAAAAAGCTTATAAGTCACAACAACAAAACACACTGGGCAAAACAAACTTGCAATAGATTGAAAGTCATAATTGGTTGCTGGAGGGCTGTTTGTATGGTTTGCACAACACTTTCAAAACTCTGGGTCTAGGGGTGTGGCTTGCTGGTAGAACACTTGCCTTCCATGTGGGAGACCCTGAATTTGATCCCCAGCACAAAAAAAAGTCTGAATTAGGTCCTAGTTGCATATATCTGGTGATTTCCCCTAGATTTACAGATGTCTTGAAGAAGCAGAAAATCTGGCAACATGGGGTCTTCCACCCTGCATAGCAATTGTAGGCACTGAATTACAGCTGCTTTTTAAATGAGGTGCCTGCTGCAGTTTGCTGCTGTGTCCTCTCCAGCATCTTTCTCCCAACGTGTTACAATCAGTTTCCCCATCTGCCAGATTTGAGTTTTAAAACTCAGCTCCACATAATGAAATGTAAAATATCTGGTCTGGACTCTGCACAGTGGTATTTCCATTTCATTTCCGGAACAATTCCTGGTATGTTCTTCACTGGTATCCTGTCAGTGTTAAATAATTAAAAAAGAGACACCATGCTGACCAGTACAATTGTTACCTGATGATAGAAGCCTGACAGATTACTCTGGATCAAGAGCTCCTAGTGATACATGCCATTTTCATTCATGTGAGTCTGTGAAGCCTCTATATTAAAAAAAAGCAAGCATGCTGACCCAGTTCTTGTACTTTGGCACCCTGAGACACAAACAGGCTGTTATTTATAGTTAGGTCTCTTACGTTCACTAGATGGTGAGGATGTTCAAACTCCACATGTGCTCTGGTTAGTGAGTTCGTATGCACAGAGTAAAGTCCTCCATTTAAGCTCCCATTTAGGATTCCATTGATTCCATTAGGGACCTTATGGTGGAGATGGGAGCAACCATTGCTGAGGCTGCCATTGCCTAGAAAGCCTCCATGAACACCCCCATTGATCCTGTTTGTTCCTGAGAGAGTGGGATATTCCACCATCTGCCCATTAATTTCTGACCCTTGGTAAAGATATCCTGGTGGGTCATATTCTGTTAAAAGAGGGGGGGAAAAAAAAAAGTAAAAAACAATAGCCAGATACTGAAAACAACAGTCTTGCTTAGGAAGTTTTATTAATGATACCTTTAAGAAAGTACAAATAGACTAAAATAAGGCATTTTTTAAAATCTTCCCATAAAGCTTTAGTAAGGTGATTGCTGTTATTTTCTTTACAGTGAGGAGATAGCTGGGAACTCTGAGTCAATTATGACTCCATTAATAGGAAGAAAAATTAACTGCAGAAAAATCTTTCATAAGAAAATCAATAAATTGTGTAAGAAAAGCTATCAAAGAATTGGCAACACTAAGAAAAAGTGCTTAAATTCCTACTTCAAAGAGCTGAAAAGAATTGTGCATAACAACAACAAAAGACTTCCTTTAGGTAGGATGTTTCAAGTAGCAATAAATAATACTTTTAAATAGAAGGATGGTACTATGGTTGCATTTGATATTCATATAGCTCCTTGGTCATTGTAGTTCAGGGGAGGTTGTGGGATACCAAAAGCAAAGGGCTATTCTATTTCCTTGTATTAAAAGCATTTAAACAAATTCTGATTTCCAGTGGCACACCTACCAGACATATTTAGGAATGTAAGATACCCTTTAGAAAGTATAGTATCTAAAGTGCATAGGGTTTGTGGTCAGGGTTTTGATAAATTCCTCAAAGGTATGAGAGATCATCAAGACTAGCCCTCCTCACCATAGCTCTTATTCCCTGTGCTTTCTTGCTTAGGTGTGTTTTGTCAGAAGGCCTGCTTATCTTTTACACTAACCTATGTTCTGTGAGAGCAGGGACCATGTTCATTTCATGTATCATTACAACTTCATTGTCCAGCATGGATTCTGGCATTTGGAAGATAAAGAATATCTTCTGCAGGAATGAGTGAATGAAAGCATGTGATTTGAAGGTAAATGGATACAACTGGAAGACATTGTGTTAAGTGAAGTAAGCCCGTTAAGTGAAGACAAAGGCTGCATATTTTCTCTCATATGTGGAACACAGACACAATACAAGTAAGAGCAATATTATGAAAACCTGATCACGCTAAGGGGAGGTCACTAACAGAAAAGGGGGCTAAAAGAAGGAAGTTAAGAAGGTGAATATGGTTGATGAACTTTCTATACAAGAATGAATATAGAATTTTAAATCTGCTGAAATCAGCATAAGAACATGGCTAAGGAAGAAAGGAGAAAAATAGAGGGGATGAACCAATTCAGGTTATAATACATATATACATGGAAATGTTACAATGAAACTCCCTGTATAGCTATCTTAAATAAAAATGCGTTTTTATTGAAATGGAGACCAGTCCTGTCTAGGGGTTGGTACCAGTGGGAGTGTAGAGGATATAAAGAAAGGGTGTAGAAGGATGAATGTAGTGGAACAAATGTACTCATGTATGAAAATTGAAAAATGAGATTACTGAAACTATTCCAGGAATGGGGACGGGGGGTAAAGGAGAATGATGGAGAGGGTGAATTCAACTATGATATGGTGTAAAAACTTTTGTAAATGTCACAAAGTATGCCCAGTAAACAATAACATGATGATAAAATAAATAAAATAATCTCAGAAAAAAAAAAGATTATGGTTTTTTTTCTTGAGTTATTGACATGGGAACTGAAGTGCCTATCTTTGTTGCTGTCCTCTTGCTTGTCTGTCATCCCCATATTCTGGAGCAAAAGGAGCAACCAAAAATCTCCCCACCAAAGTCTGAAATTACAACTTGATCTGGTTAACCTATATTTTAATAGCTAGAGGAACAGGAAAGATAGGTCATTTGTGTCAAAACAGTGCCATCACCAAACCATGCAGGCAAACCTGTTTCTAAACACATTTGGGGGAAAGGATGTCACTTTGGAGCAGTTTGGGTACAATGGATACAGAGACAGAATTGTGTCATCTCCACTTGTGTCACTCCATGACAGTAACTTAAAAAAGTCTTCACCAATCTCCTTTCTATAAAGTCATTTCTAGCCCCTGTTGAACAGACCGAAACCAGCATGAAGATGAACCTAAGGCCACTCCAGAGTTCATTCCTCAAGTACTCATCCTCTTTGGTGATCCAACAAAGCCAGAGTTTCCCAGCAACACATCAGCTATTTAGTTAGAGACCTGTTTAGTTTTGGCTTTGGTGTTTATTTCTATTGGGCAATTTGATTTGATGCTCTACTTACTTCGGCTGACAGCTAGAATGGTTTTAAAGTCACCTCCTCTGAATGATGAGTATCTAACAGGTTTCATACCATGGCACTAATACACAAAAGTGTTAGAATCAATATTTATTCTGACAATATTTTTCTACCCATCTTTAGAAAAATACAAGGAAATACTTATAAATGACTCACTCTGTATGGCATTTTGTTGGCGACTCTTCCACAAGCACATTGCAATGAAAACCATAAGAATGAGGACCATGACACCAAGCACGCAGCCAACAATAAGGTATAACATATCGCTGCTTCTGGCTGGGCTGGTTGCAGGCCCAACATTCCCTCCACTTCCTGAAGAATTGGGAGGTGTACTCAAGTCCTTGACAGGATACTCAGAAGCTCCAGGAACTCGTTTCACTAGTTAAATACAAAAGAAAACATGATGTCAGAGTGAATATAGAGTCTGTAACAATTTACTCTCTGAAGGAGGTCTCTGGTTAGGAATGCAAGCCAGCCTGTTTATGCTCCTGACTGAGATGATCTGACCAACAATGAGTCACAAAGAAGGCTCCAAATTTTAAAATTCTGGTGTGCCAAAGTTTTAGTCCATAAATTTTAGAGCAATCATAAGAGCAGAGAAACATACATACTTGGTCTAACCCAAACTGCTATATGATTGCTTATTTAATTGTACTTGTAGAAGACTCCCAAAGAATGGAAATGAAAATATTCTACTTATGGATGGAACAAAAACTCCTTTCTATCTGATATACTTTGCATGGACAAGACTCAGAATTACACATTTTAGACTTCTATCATGTATATTTAAAAAAACTGCCAATATTAGAAAATATGGCTTTGAACCATATTTTCAAACTATATATATATATATATATATATATATATATATATATATATATATACATATATATATATATATTTCCAACTATACATAATTACCAAACCACATACATAATATTCAGCATCCCCCAAGGAATCTGAGTCCACATAAATGCAGTACTTTTACCTAATTCATGGGTATTCTGGGCAATCGTGATCACAAAAGCTATTTAACAGGTGGGACTCAAACCCCATTCTATCCATTCCCAAATCTCATGTTCTTACTGCTCTAAATGTTATAGCAAAGATGTACAGCATAGTGGTTGACAGCCCAGTCCTGGAACTAGACTGCCTAGGTTTACAACTCTGCTCCACCATTTGTCATTAGCTGTATGATTTTTACCTCACAAACCCAAGTTCTACCTACTCAACAAACAACATTCAATTGGAGTTTAATTTTCGAGCAAAAATCAACTACACAAACAAAGCTGAGACTAAGAAGCTGTCTCTCAAAAGAATGTGCTCTACACCAGAAACTAGATGAGTACTTAGCAGAAACTCTAAAGGAAATTATTCTCCAGGTGGTATGTTAGATTGTAAAATCCTAAGATCCCTGTCAAACCTAAAGAAAATAAAAAGGTTTCTCAGAAAAAATGGATGTTCCCTATTATACATTAAAGGTCATAATTACTAATGAGTAAGTCCTTCAGATTTAATCACTCTATTTATTCTTTATTTAATTGTAAGTCTACCAAATTTGATCTGGTTTCAACCTCTTGTTAAAGTCAAAGGCTAAGGACAGATAGTTGGTATTGGATAGTGAGGAGACAGACTCATTAAAATCAATAAGAAGAGACAGCTGATAGCCTTAAATAAGAAAGGTGAAGTAAAAAAAATGAAGAGAAACTGAAGAGCTAAAGGAAAAATCATGGTAACCTCTGATCTTAAATGGGAAGAGAAAAGGGTCATCTTTCAACACCTCTGTCATCATGAAAATCTCACTGAATTACTAACAATAAAACAATCATTGTTTACAAGAACAGGAGTCACTTTTTGTAAAATTAAGTTAAAGTACGTATCATATATTCCATCTAAATAGGCCAGAAATCATGTAATCTATTTTAGAAAGTCACTCAATAGGAACAGTTAACATTTTAAAGAAGTTTTTCATTTTTCTCTAACTTGAAAATAAAGTCAGTAGGTAGAATCTTTTATTCCCCAGAAAAGTCAAATAATGAGGTCCACTACTCTAAACACAGTTAAACTATTATAAACCGCATTATAACATTGTCATCAGTTCTTTCTTCTTTTCCTTCCTTCCTTTCTTTCAGTGCTGGAGATCAAACCCTGGGCTAGGTAAAGGCTCTGCAACAAAATTATGCCCTCAGTATAGATTCTTAAATTTCTACTTAAATATATACACACACACACACATACACACACACACACACACACACACACACCACACACACATAACCTTTACATAACCTATATACAATTATTTACACACACACACATAAATAACCTTCATTCAAGAAACCACTTTGAGCATATTGCCATGATTTAGATATGGTTTGATTGTATCTCACCCTGCAAGAGTTCATTGGTTGAGAGCTTGGTCCTCAGTGTGGCAATCTTAAGAGGTAGTGGAACCTTTAAGAGGTGGAGCCTGGTGGGAAGTCACTGGCGGTACTGTCCTTAGAAGGAACTAATATAGTTCTCATGAGATTCTCATTTGTTCTCACAAGAAGTTTGTTATACAAGAACAAGCCCGATCCCTTCCTGGTCATTCTGACTTTCTGTCTCATCAAGTAATTTCTTCTTCTTTTGTGCACTCCTATCACTGTGATGCCATACCATGCCCTTGACCTCCAGAATTGTAAGGTAAATAAACCACCTTTCCTTATAAAGTACTCAGTCTTAGGCATTTCATTATAGTAAGAGGAAAACGATTAATACACATATGTAGCATTCCTCCTTAATTCTTATATACTTTTGTTAGTATTCTAATTTTCACAGAAATTTCAGAAACTAGTCACTAAATCTCTTCATGGAGAAAAACAGAATGGAAGTGATTTACTCAGAATCATAAAAAAGTTAATGAACAGGATTACTGCTTATGTAGACAATTTTTTAGACAAGTGTTGTAGCCCATACTATACTTTTATGGGGAAGGTCTAAATGTATACATCTAGAAAATGGCCCAAAACAGAGATTTCCTTAGGGAAATATATCAATAGTCCAAAGAAGTAATCTAGAGTTTTAGAATTCTAGCACTGGCCAGGAAAAAGGCACAATTCTCACCCATCTCCTACCTTTAGTCTCGCAGATCATCACGTTGCTGAACTCACTCTCTCCTCCTTCATTGAAACACTGCATTTTGATGTCATAGGAGGTTTCTGGCTGTAGGTGACCAATCATGTGCCACTGCTTTGAACCTAGAAAAGAGAATAAAAGATAATCTAAATGACATCAATGTAATTAATTACTCAGTATTTTCAGAGTGAGGTTGGAGCAGTAGACATCACCATGCAGCACAGTTTATGTGATAAAGATGTATTGCATGTAAGTATTTTAGTAATACATCCCAGGTTAATAGCATTTCTTTTGAGTGACATGAAAGAAAGATAAAGAAATAAACCAAACTGAAGCTATATCTGTGTGTTGGTAGTAAAACTTATTGAAAACAATTAGTGGTTAAAAAAAATAAATAATAAATAAAAAGAAAAACAATTAGTGGTGAGCCTTTCAAAAAGTACATATTAACTTCATGTACAGGTTAAGAAAAAAAACAACTCAAGTCCTTTGGTCCCTATTTCAGCCCAGCAAATTAATACGCTATATCCACCCACCAAAAAGCAATAGTTCCTATGAGATCAGCAAACAGTGCATCACCCAGTGCAAGTGACCAGTTATAAGAAAGACCTTCACAAAACGCTCTGTTCCATTGCCATGGGCACAACATAGACTGACATATAAACAAATGGCTTAATAACTCACTGAGAATTCACAAAAAGTATGAAAAGCTATGAGAAACCTCGTTGCTACTCTCTATGCTACGTTTTCTTTGAGCCAGGATCTCCCAACCACACAAGTATCTCTAATAGAATGATTCTGTTATCCATGGCACGCAGCCAACATTTCATTTAGAAACACTCTGAAACTGAGCACTCCCGTATAAATCACTCTCCATTTTCACTTCCATGGACCTGTGACAAACTTTCATAAACAGGACACTTTGGCCAGATTTAATTAACTCTTCAAGCACTCTTAATCCCTCTTATAAAGCAACTCTTCAAACTGTTCCCACTGTTTCTTAGAAATTTAAGTATACCACCAACTGATTTAAGAATTAATTAAAGGGAGAGGAAAACAAAACAAAACAAAATAAAGCCACACTAGTAAGTCAAATCTACTTGGCTGACAGAACCTGTATCACAGGCTCCTTTCTAAACCAACACAGACAAAAAACATTTCAATCTGGAAGCACAAGCCCCTTTTCAACTTACCAATACAAAACCCCTCACTAAAACAGACTCACATTTTCTAAGGGAGAAAATCTGCTTGTTTTAGAATCAAGAGTCTCTGCAAGACTCAAGAAGTGAGGAATTCTATGCCCCATCTATAAATGTCAAGAGACCCACCACCCTTAATTTTTTTTTTCCACTCAAAAACTGATTGAAGCTGGAATAGGCCTATTTCTAAAAGTCTAAAAACTTCCCAAAAGACTTCTATTTTTACTCTAGCCTTAGGTCTTTCCTAACCTGGTCCTACACTCACCTATTATAAACATTCTCTTGAATAATTATTATACTAGACTTGAAGATTTCCTTGCATAGCACTAGTAAAAATGGAGTCAAATTAGGTTTCTGATATGTTGGAAGAAAAAAATAGTTAAAATAATACATATCATGTTAGATTCATATTCTATTGTTATAACAATTCTTCCAATGACTATAAGTACAAAATAAATCAGCAAACAAGAAATTTTTACTGATTATTGATAAGTAAAATAAGTGCATTATTAGGTTTAAAGACAATCAGTCAGCATATATCCTTTGCTAAACAGGCAATTATTTTCCCAAAGGACACTTTAGAAAAGGTAAGGTCTTAACACAGAGAGAACCAAATGTATGGACTTAAAGATGAGAATGAGCTTTGAAACACTTATTTATTTGGAACATGACTTAACTTTACAAGATACTAATATTAACACAAAATTGTTAGTATGATGGAGACCGGTAAACTTTGCCTAAGTGTAAAACTTAATTTAGAAGATGGGATAACTTAATTAGTATAATTATTCTCTTCCCATGTTCTTTTATGATTGTTTCAACTTTTTAAAAGCTTAAAGTTTTGATTGGTAAACAAAAGTAATCAAAAACTTTTAAAGAAAATTTTAGGTACAAAGGGTGAGTATTTTTGTTCCTGGGTTTGGGGGAACAGACCAATAGTTCCAACTCCACAAAAAGAATTTCAAATGCATAAACTTGAAAATAAGGAATAAGCAAATTACACAGCACAGTGGAACCCACTTAAACATCTAACTTCTCAGTATATTACATTTATAAACAAGTTCTCTGTAAACCATAGGCAAAACTCACATTTTCAGATACTACCACTAGATACAAAGGCTTTGTTAAACTAATTTCCAAGTTCCGTGCTCAGTACTCAGATCACAAAAGTCTGTAAATTTTAAAGACTTTTCTAGAGAACACAGTTTAAAAACTGCTTATAATGTGTATTCCTAGAAAGTTCATCTAGGAAGGGATGGGAGAGACAAAGAGACAGAAACAGAGACAGATAATTCATTTCATTTACATTTGCTTTGTTTAAAACAATTTTATGACAAGTGGTTAACTACTATCAAAAAAGTTTTTAAACAAAAATCTGACATTCTTACTCCCCAAGACTTCTCTCACTCAAGACAGCTACATCTTGACTTCTAAGAGCACAGAATAGTTCCTCTATTCAAAAAATATTTATTGTGTATCTACCCTCCCTCCCTCCTTTGCTCTCTCCCTTTATTTTGGTGCCAGGAACATGATCCACTACATTTTTCTTCTTTCTTCCTTTTCCTTTCCCTTCCCCTTCCCTTCCCCTTTCTTTCCTTTTCCCTTTCCCCTTCCCTCTTCCCTCCCCTCCCTTCCCTTCATCTTCCTCTCCTCTTCTCTCCTCCCCTTCCTTCTTTCCTTCCTTCCTGTGCCAGGAACTGAGCTCAGGGCTTCCCACATGCTAAGCACTGCTCTATCACTGAGCTACACACCTAGCCAAGACATTTAATATTTCAAAGAATCAGAATGTTGGAGTGAAAAGAAACCTTGGAAGACGTCTTCCTCTCAAAGCAAGAATCACATCCAAGATATTACAAAAAAATTAGGCATCCAGTTTCTATCAACACTTCTAAAATTTGGGAATCTATTACCCTGTGAGAAAACACAGATGTGTTATGTTAGAAAATCTTCCGCATAATCTCCCCTCCTTTGATTGACGTAGCAACTCTTTCACATAACAATCCTTAAATATCTAAAAACAGCTATCATGTTGTTTCTGTCAGTCTTCTTTTTTTCCAGCCTGAGCATTACTTGACATTCATTCTTTTGTTATTTTTGGACTTCATAGATTTGCTCATTCATTCAATGCTCACCACTGAAGGGACTAGGAATATAGCAGTGGGAAAAAGGTCCCAGGCCCACAGGACTTTAGTATTTAGTAGGGGAGATAAATGTTAAGCAAATAATTTCAAATACACTCATATATTTAAACTTTGATAAGTTCTATGAAATAAACACAAAGAATTTATTTTTGGTTAGAACTTTAGGGATGATTTGTATGAGGTACTGCTATTTAAGCATCCAATAGAGAAAAGTGAAAATACCTACATAAAATGTTAGGAGAGAGGAACAGTGGTTGGAACCACCCTGCGCCAAAGTTCTGAAACAAAAAAAGTCTTGGTGCTTAAAAGGAAACTGAAAGAAGCCTGGTGTGACAAGCTCCCAAAAGAGAAAGACTGTAAAAGAGACGTAGCTGAGGGTGGAGGTAGGAGCCACCCAGGTCACATGGGGCCATTGGATCAGGCCATATGCAGAATTCTGGATTAAATTTTAAATGCAGTAGAAAAGCCATTTCAACACCCTTCACCATCTTGTATGCTTGCTTTGTCCTCTACAATGCATTCAAATTTCTCAGCATCTCTAGAAGTGCACACATGTGATCTTTCTACTACAGATGTCAAAAAAAAGTTTGAGCAAGACATTGTTAGACATAGCTACAAGTCGCAATTGATTTTTACCCTCAAGTATAAAACAAAACAGAAATCAAAATCTTTTTCAGATGAACTACTGAAAAATCCTATCTTCCTCCATACTTTCAAAACTGTCTCAGCAACAAAAAATGTAAGGTACTATATATATATGTTAAACTGAAAAAATTGGCTTCCAACAGCAATAATGAACCTACCATTTCATTATTTCCTCTATCTTAGCTGTGATAATGTGCTCCATAATGTTTATAAACCCTGTCCCTTCAAAGCTCCTTTGTGGGGACTCCAGCTTACCAGGGGACTTACCTTCTACAACATCCCTCTTGTAGTCACTGTCATTGTCACTATCTGTTGGTCGGTAGTAGATATAAAATCCTTGAATGGGAGTGTTATTGTTACTTGATGGAATATACTAAAAAAACAGAGGTAAAGACTTGTCAAAGATAAAAATGAAAGCAACTCTCATATCCATTCAGATTTATCTGTATGGTAATATTTTTCTAGCCTTATTTTATAAACATAACTTAATAGCCATTTTTAACTTAATTCAAAGATATTAAAATCATTTCCCTTACTGGAGAGCTAAACAAAAATAAAGCAGTAGACACTTTACTAAGTTCGAAGATAAAAGTATACTTGGTTCAAAATAAATAAATCACAAAACAGCAGTTAAGTTAACAACACTTGGATAAGTGACAAAGAAACATTAGTTTTACTTTTAACACTGCTCCTCTTAGAACATGTGCTTTTAGACAAACATTGATGCCCTTCTACTTCCCCTCAATTAAAAGTTCAATAATTTGTTGTTCACAGTATCATATCATGAGAATATTAAACTGTTGACATGCCAAACCAGGAAATCTCACTAGAAAAGAAATTTACATACCGTCCATTTTAGCATGATCTGAGTATCACTGACAGCCTCTGTGTATGCAATGTGAGGTCCAGTTATTGGACGGTTGGAGAAACGACTAGGGAAGCCAGCCACTTGGTAAGGACGGGATGCTGAACTCCGAAAACTCTCACCATAATGGTTGATGGCAATGACTCTAAATTTGTATATTGAACCTTTGGGGAAAAAACAAAAACAAAAACCATCATAACTATGGAAAGCTATAATAATGGCTGGGGAAGTAGCACAGTAGCAGAGTGCTTGCCTAGCATGAACTAGGCACTGCTTTCCATCCCAAGCACAAAGGAAAAAAGGAAGAAGAGCTCCAGCAAAGCATCAAGAAAAAGGTAGAATGTTAAAAATATGACAGTTATGTTTAAGTGTCTGTCTACTATAACAATAACAGTCTCTAAAACCTGTATAGTACATAGATTTCCACCTACTTGCCAATTTCAGTCAGCCGAGAGACTTGTGTTCAGGACCTTATTAGGAGTCACCAAAAATGAATACTATAAAAGACTAATGATGGGAGCAGGTAGAAGATAGGAAAGAGGACATTGTCCTTTTTACCATCCCATTCAAAGTCATACCCATCAAAGACAATATTAGTTGAAGTATCTGTTCTTTTCATTTCTAAAGAAACAACTGAAGCAAAGTTTAATATGCTGAACACATTTATAAAAAGGCACTGTGTAGGTGACAGCAGATGCTACTCTGGTTTCAAAGATAATAGGGTGGGTGGGGGGGACAGCAGATTTAAACTATAGCAGAAGGAACTTATTTTGATTAGATATTAAGAACTAAAAATTACTAAAGACTGTGTCAGTCAGGTGCCGGTGGCTCATGTATATAATCCGAACTACTCAGGAGACAGAGATCGGGAGAATCATGGTTCAAAGCCAGCCCTGGCAAATAGTTTGAGACCCTATCTTGAAATTACCCAACACAAAAACACAGCTGGTGGAGTGCCTGCCTAGCAAGCATGCTAGGGTTTGAACTCTAGTGCTGCCAAAAAAAAAGCTAAGACTGTGAAATTTTGAAAATTATGAATCTAAAGAATAAATTGAAATCCTAAAGCAAGTTTCCTAACCACTCAAAAATAATCATTGGGTTTCTGTTTCTTTCAGAGTTTCTTGGCAGTACTAGGGTTTAAACTCAGAGTTTTGCACTTGTGAGGCAGGCACTCTCCCACTTAAGTCACACTTCGAGTATCACTGGGCTTCTGACGACAGTATTTTCAGTCTATAAAATATTACTTACCTTTACCCACATTTAAAACTGCTACTTTCTGCCAACTACACCTATTTGCTCATTACCTGGTTAGAAAAACACAGGCACTGGCTACTAATGTTCATGTAAAAGTCCAGAAACAAAGAGGATCATATATCTAAGTGAATAAAACCAAATGTTTATTTACGCTTTTTCTCTTTTGCAGATCAATCTCTTTCACACATCCTCAAGATTTTGGTGGGGGGTGTTGGGAGGTGATCCTCTGCTGAAACAAGATTTAGTATACTCTTTGAAAACAAAACTTATAGAAAACACAAGTGTTAATTGTGTCATTTCCATAAGACTAAGCACTTAGGTATAATTATGCTTAGATTCAGCAGTAGATCAATTTTAGTCAAATAATACTTTTTCTCTTACACAGAAAAATGCCTATATATACATACACATGAAGATGTTCGCCATGGTATTTCTAATTGCAGGTAAGTAGCCCCAGTTTAAAATCCAGAAATAAAGAATGGTTAAGGACTGAGGTTGTAGCTCAGTAGCAGAACACTTGCCCGGTGTTCACAAGGCCCTGGATTTGGTTCAAAGCACCGACAGAAACAAACAAAAAGAATGGTTAAGTAAGTTATGACATATATATATAAGGTAGATACATAAGTAGTAAAAATCAAGTTTTTGAAGAATTTTAATGGTATCAGAAAAATGTATATAATATGGGAAAAGGGGATACAAAACAGTATTTATGGCATGGTTCCAGAGTATATTAAAGACAGAGAACAAGTTAGAGAGAAATATATCAAAATTTAAACACTGATGTCTCTGAAAGAGTGGATTTCAGATGACCTATTCTTTTCTTTATATTCTATTTTCAGGAGCTGACAGAGTGGCTCAAGTGGTAGAGCGCCTGCCTAGCAAGTATGAGGCCCTGAGTTCAAACTTAGTGCCACCCAAAATATATATATATATATATATATATATATATATATATATCTATTTTCAAATTTTTATAGAATAAAGTAAGACCATTAAAAATATGCAATTAATGTTAGCACTATAGTTAAAAAAAAAAAAAAAGTAATGTTTGAATATTACTACCTGGTTCTAAACTACGAACTTCCACAGAGAGTCTGGAAGGAGGGATATCTTCGGCTGCCACCAGCCAGTCACTAGTCCTCATCCGTTTATATTCAACCTTGAAGGCAGTGATTGGAGAACCACCATTTGCCCGGGGAATCCATGTGACATACACTGATGTTTCTGATGCAGTGGAGATAGTGGGCCGATCTGGGGCCTCTGGAACTGAAAATGTAAACATTTCACAGTGTCACAGACAAGAATAACTTACATAAACTGTAAGGGAGAAATCCTAAATCTTCTGGCATTAAAGGTTCCTCATCAAACTTTTTTGTCAGCACTAATATTATGGATATCTTCTGGTCCTCTGTTAAAAGCTAATGGGAAATAGAATGGTCAAAACCAGGAACTCTGAGAGACTGAAAGTAATCAGTATGATAATTTCAACTATGCTGTTTTGATTCATGACTAAAACAATGTGCACATAATTGTTATTTGGTGCTTCAAGTCTGTTTCTGGATATAGGTAATAATAAATTCTCCCAATTATGTGTTATCTTATTTAAGTGTTTTTCTTCATCCATCCAAATTATATAAAACACATTCAGCAACTATTACTGTAATATTCTACTTTAATATACCTCAAGGCTACAGGAATTAATACTCCAAAATACAGACTGCAAGCAGCAAGAATGATAAAATTTGACTGATAAAAATCAATACTGATAATAATCAGAGAAGAGAATGTGCTCAAGATGAAAGCAGGAAGACAGGATGCACAGTTAAATAAAGAAAGGTACTATCAGAAAGGTGGTCCACATAAGAATGTAGAAAAGGGGGTCTGGCAGCTTACAGTTTAGTATTTGCTAATCCACAAATTAGACTGGACCCTGTGGAAGGTAGAAACATCAGCCATTTAAATCATGTACTAAGTCCTCTCGCTGACCAAGCAATCTGGTGGTTGTGGGAAACAAGGACACAATCTGACCTATATAGGCAAGTTACATTGCAAACTAGTACACTGCCATTCCAGTTTACATAAGTCACATGTGAGTTTTGTAAACATGAGCTGGTTCTCAAGAGACCAATAACCTTTTGGCATGCTGACAGTGGATTTCTAAAGCTAGAACATGGAAGGCCAACACGGGCCATGGTGACCTACTATGGTGAAGGCACCAAAGGAGCCCTGACTGTCATCTAGCCTATGTCATGCTCCTCAAGCAACGTGCTCTGTCTCAACACCCATTCAAACCTCACTACAAACACAAGAAAGAAGAAATAATGTTGAGCATGGTACTTACATGGAGAAAGCTAGAGAATTTTAAGAACTGATTGCTTAAGAGATACAAAGAGGAAAGTATTTAAAGCAGGCAACTGTGAGTGATACTTACTGTATTCCTTTCAATTAGAAAGCAATGGAAACAATGAATAGAACTGTTAGTGCATCTTTTTAAATACTGGAAAACCAATGATTTCCTTATGTTGACTCATATGAAGTTCAAATTCATCAAACTCCACAAATCAAACAGGAAAAGAAAGTTACTGGAGATTATCTCTACAGAGAAGAGTACCTTCAGTATCTAAAAGAAACAGCATGTGACCTTTAACAGTTGCACTTGGAGTTGGAAAACCTGGGTTTGAATAACAATTTCACCACTATCTAGATGGCCTCAGTCATGCTGTGAAACATCCTGGAGCCTCAGTTTCCACATCTGTAAAAGGGATGTACTACCTTCTTCTTATGGATGTTAAGAAGATCATATAAATCACTTTTGATTATGTCTGCTGAGATAGTTCCAAACTCATGATTTCCAAAACTAAATCTGTAGTCTTCACTTAAAATCTCTTATTACCCATCTTGGTAAATGGTCCCTAGTTGCCCAAGCCCAAGTCACCATCTTTGTCCCTCTCACTCAATGCAGATTCCATTCCCCTAATCTCATCAGTGCCTTCCTTTCCCTTCACTCACACTACATAATACTTAGTATTTCTCTAGCTTTATCTTTTGCTATTCCTCCTTTTTCCCTCTTTAAAATTCTCTAGAGTTCTTCATAGCTCCCAGGGAAAGAGTAAAATTTTAAGTGTATCATACAAGGTGCTAGATACCTACCTGCTTCCCCTTCCCTGACAATATTACCCATAGCAACTAGTCACACCAAATAAAATCTAATCACTAAATGAAATAGAACACATCATTTATCTATCGCGCCCACAAGGGGCTATCTTTTTCCTAGAACCTCTTTTCCTGTTTCTTCATCTCATTATATCATCCTTATCCTTTGAGGCTTAGCTCAGATTGCTGAGCTAATGCTCTATAACTCATGGAGGAATGGTGTGATCCCATAATACTAAGGGTGCAATTATAAGCAGAATGAACAAAATCATTATGATTGCTTTATTTGTCTATAATTATTTTATTTGTCTATATTGCCTACTCTGTTGTTACAGGCTTAGTCTATTTCATCTACTCATTGGTATGGGTTTACATTTCTGCCCTGCCCATTACACTGTAAACTCCCTGAAAGAAAAGATTATTTTATCTCTGCTATTCCCAGCAGAGAACACAGTGTCTTCTACAGGGCGTGTTAAATAAATAATAAAGTATTTGCTTTTCAGATGTTAGCTTTATTCACACAAAGCTAATACCAATATAAATAATCTGCTTAAGATAGCCGAAATGTGTCCCTGATGTGAAAGTACTCAGGTACACAAAGCTCACAATATTGAAGCAGGGAGTTCAAAGTGTTAGGATCTGCTTTTGCCTAAGATCAATTCATGGGAAATTATAAAATTATGTGAGCCAAGTCTGAAAACTCTTAGAGCTCCATGTGAAATGTTGAGCCTTCCCTAGATGTCCTGACATTAGCACAAGTAGCACATCAGGGAGCTCGGTGTGGAGCTCAGTGGTGGAGCGCTTGCCTAGCACGTCCACTGCCCTGGGCTCCATTCCCAGCATCACGAAAATAAAAAAAACAATAAACAGCACATTAGACTAGAACTGGTATGCATGAGATTTACATACTAAAAAGAGGTCTTTTGAAATTTTTATTGCTCAGACATTTAAAATTCAGAAGATTAACTAGATGTACCAACAAAGGTGAATGTGAAATGTAATCTTTAAGCACAATAATTTATCATTGATACCATCACACATTTTGATAAGACACAAACACAAAATATTGGGCTTTCAGAATTCAAAATATAAATTTAGTTTTCTTGCCAAAGAGGAGCTAGAAAAACTCTGAATGTGAGTTATAAAAACTTAATTGCAGAAAATTTTGAATCTGAGTTTAAAAAATCAAATTCTAATCATGACACTGAGTTGCCAATGTTTAAATCTAAGACATTAAAAATGGTTGAAACAGTATGTAGAAGAGTTATGTGGTAGGATATAATCTAAATAACAAACATCCCATTCCATCCCACCTCCCAAAAGCCTGAAACAGGGTAATTACATTTATAAACAAAATGGATAAAATGAAGATTCTTTTCTTTACCTCCACTATGCCTAGAGGAATCTGTAAGCACCACTCCAAAATTGTTTGCAGCCTCTGAAACAACAGGATGTTTAGGGACGCCCATGGGTGGAGAGGATGCCTGGGTATTTTTTGATGATACTGTCTTTTCTAAAAAGGTTAAAAAGGAAAATTGTAATATAAGCTTATATACATAAACTTAAAAAAAAGTCCAGTGAAACATAACTGGTCTATAGACATGGATATGAACTTACTTGCCACATCTAACACCTACATTTAAATACATAGCTGATGTTAGGAACTCACAAAAAATTACTTTGTCTTTTCTCTAGGCTCTTTAAGAGAAAGCTAAAATGTATCTTTCTTCATTTTACTAACTTTTTTTAACACGTGGAAAAGTCAAATGATTAGAGTGAAGGTTTTCATTTACTCAATTTTCCATTTTACTCTATATATAAATTCTAAAACAAAATTCATTAAAGAACTTCTGCTAAGCTTTTTCACAGAAAAAAGTCACAATAAATTTTAATATTTCGATAGGCAAAAAGTGAAAATGAACAACTTTTCAAAACTAATACAAAATTATTCAGTATTTATAGGTCAGACTATAAATAACTAAGGACTAATGGTGAAAATTAACTGAGATACATTTAAAATAGAAAGTACTCGCTGTTTCCTGGCCAGACTCAGAAATTAGATGAAAGGGTCTTTTTCAAAAGTCACTAGATAACTTCTTCTCAGTCATCAGACCTTCTTTCTATTGTAGTGCCAAACTACTACAGGGCCATGGACATGCTAGGCAAGCACTCCACCTTGAGCTATGCACCCAGCTATGTGCTTCTTGTGATTGCACTCATATGTCAGGACACTAGAGAAGTTTCAACATTTCACTATTGAGCTCTAAGAGTTTCCAGATTTCCCTCCCATATTTTTATAGTTTCCCATGCAAGTGCAGGTCCTAATTCTCTTCCACCAGGTTCCCATCTCCACCCATTAAGTCATTCAGTACATTTCCAGTCAAGCTTCTGAGGCCTCTTCAATCCAGCCTTCCCTCACAGACTGCCCCACAGGAAGAAGATCCTTTTAGAAATCTCTCAAAGTGCTTGTCATATTCTGGTGTCTTTGCCTCCACCCCTCCTTTCCTCCAGTCCACCCATATCCCACAGCCTTCCGTTAGAACAGATGACCCACCATGTCACTCCTCTTGCTCAGGTGCTCCAGCAATCCCATTTCACTCAGAGGTCCCACCAAAGTCCTTACAAGATCCACAGGACACTGTGAGTGGTCAGCTTGTCTTCTCACTAAGACCTTTCCACATTGGCTTCCCCATTTAACTTGCTGTCACAGTGGCCCCATGTTATTCCTAGCATACACCAAGCACATCCCCCCTCAAGGTCTTGGCACTTGTTCTCTGCTGAGCATTCTTTCCCCAGATAGCCACATGATTTTTTACTTCCTCTCCTGTAAGCCTGCTTAGCTACCAACTACTCAAGAGGACTTTCCTGGCCATCTGCTTAAATGGTTACAGCTTCTACCCCAAATACTTTCCGTATCATTCCCCTAACTTATTTCTCTTGTTAATACCACCTTCTAATGTACTTATAACTTAGGGAGGAGACTCTTTCACCTAGAATGCAAGCTCTGTAAGGGCAAGGAGTTTTGGCTATTTTGTGTACTGCATGACACATGGAGGGCATTCAGTTAATACAAGAACTAAATTGAGATCTATCTTGGAGACTGACATTTAATTGTGCATCTTACCTTCCTTATCAAAGTATAAGCTCTACTGGGATAGCTCTTGTCTTGACCATCTCTGTCTTCCCTGCATCACTTAAACTGTATGTCATGAGTCATCACTCATGACTGTATGTCATGAGTTTTCAAAAATTTCTATAGAATATTAGATGGAAAAGGAAAATACAACCTCCCAAATGTGCCTACCCCCAAAAGGTGCTATAATAAACTTGTTTAGTGAGCTAATACCTAAGAATTTCTACTATTCAAAAGAATTCTTACTACTAAATTGACATCAAGACATCTAGCTCACTCAGGTGGAAGATGATACTCACCCTTGCTGGTCCGGAAGGTAAGCATGGCAGGCTGTCCTTCACCTGCTGTACTTCTTGCCACCATCAGAACTTCATAAAGACTTGATGGCTCCAGTTCAGTTAGATGCAGCTCATTTTCACTCCCTGGGACTCGAACCGTGTGCCAACTTCCCACTGCACCAGTACCATCCTCCAGCTGCTCAAGAGAAATCCAAAAAAAAAAAAAGGGAGATGGAGGGCAAGAATCTCTCCTCCAAATTTGATAAAAGCTAGAATTCATTTAATTCTAGAGGAGTTTTGGGAAGCAATGTGTCACTGTAAGTAAAAGGGACACGATGTTCTTCACATTAACAAATATAAGGAGCAAGTAATTTTCACTATTAAAAAAACTCCTAGCTAAATTTTCCCTGCCAGAGTCTGTTGCCTTTACCTAGAATGGGGATAGTTACCTCCTTTTCTATTGGGCTAAGGGAAGAATAAAATAAGTACATAATATTATTGGTAATATACAGTACATAAAATGAACATGTAAATTAAGATAGATATAATAAACGTGTAATTATCGGTCATATATAGTTTCTGCATTCTTGCTTCATGTCTTGACGCCATTCAACATGTGTTGGAGGAAACAGCAAAAAAAAACCCCACAGATCCAATCAATTGATGCTTGGTGAATGAAACCAAGAGACAATATTGCATAGAAGCATCAGGGTGGGTAAGATTACCAGCAAAACTTTCCTCATCTAAAATCATCAGGGTAGAACCAGTAGATACATTTCCTAATATCACCGGGCTACTTTTTCCAGTCATTAAAAATAACAGAAAATGAATAATAGATGCCAAAATGTTTCAGACCAAAAATCATTTTTAATATGAGTACAAGGCCTCCCATTTGACTCATTTACTAATCTCATTAAATAAAGAGGAACTCTTTTCATTTTGTTTTAATATAAACCCAAGGAAAAATTATTATCTGAAGAATAAACAAAGGGAAGCCCAAGGTTGACCAAAACAACAAAGATTTTAATACTATTAAATAAACAATCTAAAATGCACACAACAGTCAGATATTATGCCAGAGGAGTTCATTCAAATAGTTGTTTCTAATAAGAAACTGCTTTATTTGCTGAATAAAGCAGATTCTATTGTCTTAGCAAGGGATGGAATTACAGTTTTAAAAGTGGTTTATAGAGCTTAACAATCAAAGGGTTAAAACAAGGGTTTAATTTTTTTAAAAATTAAGTAGCAAAGACTGGGGATATAGCTTAGTGGTACAGCACTTGCCTAGCATGCTTTAAGTCCTGGGTTCCATCCCCAGTACCACAAAAAAAGAAAGAAAGAAAAAAAAAAGAAGTTTAGTGGTTATTGGTTGTTTCCCAATTTGGGGAAACACTATAGTTCATTCTTACTATTTTTCTAAGTTTGGTCAATCCAGCATGACTCGTGGAATTTCTCTGAGAAACCCATCATTCTAGAACATTCTCACTCTGTTTCCTGCTATTCCACAGAAGTAAAAGAAAATAATCACATGTTATACAAACAAGTGTAAGAAGAGAAAGAAGATGGATGGCATTACCTTTCGGTACTTCACAAAATAGGCATTGATGGGCAGTCCGCCATCCTTTCCTGCCCTCCACACCAAGTTGTACGTGTCTGGTGTATGGGTCTGTGGGGGGCTCAGTATGATGGGGGCATCAGGAACAGAGGCACCACTGGCATTTTTCTCTGATGATGATTCTATTCCACTGGAATATACCGGCACTGGAAATGAGCTCAACAAGGCAGATTCTGAGCCATCTCTTTCATCATTCTGAGTAGATTCAGAAGGAGTGGCTATTTCTGCATTTGTATTTGTTTCAAAAGGAACTGGAGAGAAAGAGAGGGAGAGAGAGAGAGACAGAGAAAGAAAGAATGAAGAACCTCATTATTCAGTGTCTTCTAGTGACATAAGTGACCACACTTCTAGTTAGTGACACAAGTACCCACACTGACATTATAATTACAACCTGAACCCTAGAAGTTACAATGGTAACATTTCATGGCATCATTCATGGCAACAGCTAGCCTCTCAAAGCAATCTGTTTGTAGGAGACAGCAAATGAATTATTTGGAAAACCAATGACGTGATATAACTGATAATATAACTTATATTTTCTATGCTCTATGTTGTTATTCCTTTCTGTAATAACAATTTGAGTAGATTTTAAGTTGAAGAATATCAGACTTCACTTGAAACAATGGGTAACACATTCATTCCACTGTGAACCAAGTGATACAGATAGTAAAACATGTAAAGAATTAGGATCGCACCTACTGAGTAGCCAGTCTCCAAAGACACATCTCAGAATTCATACTCTTGGAAAGTCCCCTCCTGTACCAAATCCAGGCATATGTCTCAAAGAAGGCCTACTACTTCTACTTTTATTTATGCTCTTGAGATCCAGCCACCCATAGAGATGCCCCAGCTATCTACATGTAGAAGTTACATGGAGAGAGAGATGGGTGTCTACCCCCCTAAAGAGTGCCATGGAACATGAAGCTCCTAGTGCAGGTGCCTTCTGATTACCATTGCATTACTGACCCCAAGGAAGTCCAAAGGAAGAATGTCCAGTTGCATCTAGTTAACCCCCAGAATCGCAAGAGGTAACATAGGGTGGCTGTGCCTTTAAGTTACTAATCATTGGGTAGTCAGCAAGCAGCAACAGGTACCCCACCCAAGAGACACCTATTCTACATAAGAATCTACCTCCAAGAAAAAGGCAAGAAGTGACACTAACAAGCCCAGTGCAGATTAAAGGTATGATTTACATACCATAGATAATAGGACTTATTTCTAAGCTCTACTTCTGGATAGAATTGAAGGTTGGTTAAGAAATTGCCAATCTAAAGATAGATAAACCAAACACACAGCCCTAACAGCCTTAACTTACTACTAACAGCATACAAAAATATACAGAAGGAAGTAAAAATAATTTATTTGCACTGAAAAAATAAATAGGTTCATGTATCCAAAAAAATTATGGAGCACGTATTATGTATCAAGCATTGTGCAAGACATTTTATAAACATAATCTTATTTAATTTGATAAACAACATTCTTAGATGGGGAGTACTTCTTCCCACTTTACAGATGAAGAAATTAGGGTTCTGAGACACTAAGTAGCAACAGCTATCAGAAGAATGTTAGCAGTGCTTCCATGAAAAAAAAAGTGAGAGCAGTTTGTAAAAAGAAATACAGTGCCAGTATAATAAAACTTGAGGACTGACAGCACTATCAATACTGGCAGCAAGAAAGGGTTCCTATTAATCACTCCTTTGTGGAAGAAGTGAATGAAGGAGATAATGTTATACAATGAAGTCAGATTCCTGGTAAAGGTTGGTGTGATTTTAGGAGAACAACTGAACTTTAGTAGACATCCAACACAAAATAGACCGACAGTATAAGGTCAGTTCTCTATTAGTTTAAAAGAGAGAAAGAATGTCCCAGAAGCATCCTTCATCAAAGAAAACAAAAAGCTAGTGAGAAAATAATGTAGAAGAAAACAAATAAAGTTCACTGAGACAACTTGAAAATATTGCTCCTGGAACAGGCATGTTTATCTAGTGAGTCAGATGCGCAGCGGATGTGCAGGGTTGATCTAGGGCCTGCTAATACAGAGAAATGGACTCTGGCAATCCAAGAATTAGCTGTGGCTTGGGATGATGGGCAAGGAACTGTGTATCATTAGTAGTTTCATGGATCTCCTGGACAGTTGACCACTGGGAAGTGGTGTCTGGCCACAGAAGTTTCCATACCACATGCCTCACTTTACAGAGGCATGAGAAAAATTTTATTCTGAAGTCTGTCCACTGAAAGAGCATCAAAACTCCATTTGTGTTATACCGGGTGCAGTGCAAACTTCCCATAACTTTTACTAAAAGGGGGAAACCAAGTAATCTCCACAGTTTCAAGTAATATAATGTGGGCATTCACAAGATACTAGATACAAATTTAAAGAAAGGCCTTAACAGTTCAGATGCTTCTTGATTTATGGTGGTGTGACATCCCAATAAAATCATCATAAATTGAAAATATCATTAAACTGAAAATACATTTAATACACCAAAGCTACCAAACAACCTCACTTAGCAACACAGTATACTTCAGAGTATCAGCTGTTTCCCTGTTTCCATGGACTGGCCAATGGGAGCTGTGGCTCACTGTCACTGCCAACACTGAAAGACTGTTATAGCTCTTCTCACTAGCTCAGGAAAAGATCAAAATTCAAAGTATGATTTCTACTGAATGCATATCACTTTCACAACATCATTTTAAGTGAAAAAATTGTAAGTTGAACCATTCTAAGTTGAAAACCATCTGTACTTTTTAAAAGTGTTTTCACATGTATCATCTCAACTTACCTTCAAAACAACTCTGTGAAATGGGTAGAATTCCATTCTAGATTGTTTTTAATTAGAAAAAAGATTGGTAAAACTATGGCAATGTAATAAATTTAATGACTCTTGAAACTAAATATGGAGTACAACCACATCTATCCAAGGTGTTCCCACTGTCACCACTCACATGAGCAACTTCCTACCCTACACTATTTAGGAAACCAAGGCCAACTCCCATTATAGTTTTGAACAGACACAGCTCATTCAACAAATTCTTGTACATTTAGGATCTCAAAAAACAAAGGAAAAAAGAGAAGGAAGAAGTCACCTTTTTCTCAGACCTTGCTCACTTTCCCCTTCACAATAAACAAAGTAAATGACCATCAGTATAGTAGAATTTAATAGGTTCCAATTTCTATACAAAGAAGAGAACTTTAAACTTTAATAAATTCAGCTGGATCTTAATAATTACTGCAGAGCATATTTACAATGGTAATATATTACCGTATAGTTAGTATGTAATTGATGTGGTTACTATATATATAAAGTGATATTTATCAAGACAAATACTAGAGCAGGGAATAATCTTAAAGAACTTCTTAGGGCTTCAGATTTCTCATAATTAAAGTGAGAAAATTAGACTAAATACCAATTTCCATCAGCTATAACCAGGACATCTATGTCTCCTTATTCTGTAAATTTACATAAAGCAATTACTTCTGTTAAATTCTACCCAAGCAGCTCCTGCATCACACAGCTCACAAATTTGATCAGAGCCAAATACATACACATACATGTAAGTTTATACAATACTCAACTACTTTCTTTGAGAGTTCTTGTGGTTATAAAGAACAATAACCATATCTTTCTTCCCCCAAACACCATTACAATGGATAACTATAATCTAATAATAACTAGATAGCAATGATCATAACCTAATGCTTAGTATTTATGTAAGTCTTTCTGTTACCGGAAAGTATTCTAAGTACTTCCCACATATTAGCTCTTCAGATTCTCATATCAACCCTATAAGCAGGGCACCTTCACCATATCTGAGACATATATCAGCAAACAAACAGAAAAGTTCAGTAACCAACCCCAGATTACAAAGCTCTAAGTGGCAGAGTTAAGATTCTAACACAGCCTACACGTGTCACCTACACATCATTCCCACTTCTAATGTTCATGGAGTAGCACAAGGTAAAAATAGAGGTCCCTGACTTTCCCCTGCTTTTCTTCCAGCCTCTAGCTTCAATCTTAACTGGAGGGTCCTTGCTTGCATGCAAAAAGAAACAGGAGTGAAAACATTAAAACTCTATCTACTTTAACCTTCATTCTACTTTAGCCACCCACAGGGCCCTTCTGTGGCTTAAGGGTGCCTACACCATGGTGGGAGAGACCAGAAAAGAAAACCTTTGTGGGACCAGACTGTGAACTAATTAGGGAATTCTGGAACCCCATACCTGTTATCTCGAGGAAAAAACGTGGACTCCAGGATTAGAATAAGCATTGACCTTGACCTCATAGGCTCTTTTACCAATGACACCTAAGGCTCCATGATGAAAAGGGGCATATGAAACCCACTAAAGGTCACCAGGATGGGGACCTTAGTTATCACCTCTAGAGGCAGTGGTGGACATTCTGCCTCTAACAAGGCAAATATAGCAACAATGTCTATCCAACTCACTATACTGGTACCCACTACAAACCACTAATGTAAGGTATGAATGCGAATTAAGTCAATATTGAGTTAATTTTAATTAATATTTATATTCTATATACCAGTACATATAAAAATCATATAAATTGTTAAGTCACCATCATAAAAAAACAGAACATAAACAACTAATATTATACATCCCATTAGAAAAATAACTTTGGATAAGACAAAAACTAATTTTGGATAAGGCAGAGGAAATACAAACATACAAGTATTTAATTAGTCTGGGAGTCTACATTCTCAGTAAAGGCCAACCTTTTAGGCTTTAAATACTATATCAAGGTCTCATCTAAAAACTGTCCACAAAAACATTTTCAGCAGTTTGGAAAACCAAAGCATTAATCCCAAAGACAAGTGTGTGTAGGTGTATGTATATGTGTAGGCATGCATGTGTTTATTTATTTATTTTTGGCAGTACTGGGGTTTGAACTCAGTAGTAGTTATTTTGGGGATAAGTTCTCACTTTTTGTTCAGGCCAGCCTAAACTACAATCCTATTTTAAGCTTCCCACCATAGCTGGGCTGATGGGGTGCACTATAACAGAGGTCTCATTAACTTTTTTTTGCTGGGTCTGGCCTTGAACCATGATCCTCTCAATCTTACTCTCCCATGTAGGTTGAAATAAGAGGCGTGTGCCACCATGTAGTTATTTGTTCAGATGGGGTCTTGCGAACATTTTTTGCCCAGGCTGGCCTAGAACCATGATCCTTCTGATCTTAGCCTCCCAAGTAGCTAGGATTACAGATGTAAGCCACCGGTATCCAGCTCCAAAGACAGGTTATATTTTGAGCTTGCTCCCAAATAAGTACTATTTGACAAGCACAAACTTTGCAAACATAATGGAGACCAAGGTTCCTCTGAACATGTACAGAGACATACCCCAAAAAATACAGTTCTACATTTCATTGTCATACAGAAAATGTGTAGATAGCTATCCTTATCTCAACTAGAAAAAACCCTTGGTCCTTCCTATTATTGCTCATACTCTCTCTTCAACAAAATTAGAATAAGGGCAAAATAGTTTCTGCCAGGTAGCAAGGGGTAAGGGGAGGAAGGGAAGGGGCGGGGGGAAGCGGGGAGAAATGACCCAAACATTGTATGCACATATGAATAAAATAAAATGTGTAGAGTGAGAGATTGCTATATTTATTAAAATAACTAATTCCAAATCACCCTTTCCTCTTCTATAAAAGGACATTATTCCACTGAGAAAAAGATACCAGTGGTAACTCACCAACTGTGAGAAATGCTTCTGACTGTGTGGTGCCATGCTTATTTGTAGCTTCGCAGATATACTTCCCAGCATGGTCCTGAGTGACAGCCTGAATCGAGAGAGAGCTTGAGCCAGCTCGGGACATGATGAAGTAGACAGGCTCCAGGTCTAGACCTCCAGGTCTTAATAAGTGTGACTTTCGGGATTTAGACCTAAGGACTTGAGACGGATGGCTGGTTATCAATCCATGGCTGCCATACCAACGAATGACTGGAACTGGCACTGCAGTGGCAATGCAGGACAAAGTAACAAAATCTCCATCTACCACCTTAGCACTTGTGGGTGCTGTGATTATAACTGGCTTGAATCCACTGTCTATGAAAAACAATAATTCATATACCAATAATTAGGAGCATTATAGAACCTACGTTACAAAATCATTTTGTCCTAATACAGAAATGTGATAGTAATTATTAAAACAAAGATACCTCCCTTCCTATTAGTGCCCTTTCTCAATTTTCCTTCAAGAAAATGGTCAATTCTAGGAGACTCTTAATCAATAAAAAGTAGGGAAGAAAAAATGTTTTAAATAAAATTTGATACATATTTCTTGCTATTGACATGAACAATATTTCTTGCTATTGACATGAACAATATGTTTTGTTTCTACATTAAAGTGACACCCAAGTCTTTCATTTTGGCCCTGGTATTCTTTGCAGGATATTTTTTTATTTGTACAGTACTGGGGTTCAAACTCAGAGCTTTGTGCTTACAAGGCAGGTGCTCTAACAGTTGAGCCACACTTCCAGTCTTTCCTATTATGTTGGAGGTAAGGTCTTGCTTTTTGCTTGGGCTGCCCTGGAACCACAACCCTCCCAATCTCAGTCTCCTGTGTAGCTTGGGATGCCAGATACGCACCACAACACCTAGCTGTTGGTTGAGATGGGGTTTAGGAACTTCCTGCCCAGGCTAGCTTCAAACCGCCATCCACCTGATCTCAACCTCCCAAGTAGTTAGGATTACAGATGTGAGCCATCTGGATGGAGGTATTTTTAAGTAAGCCATAATGGAATATTGATCAACAGAAAAAGACTTTCTCTAGCATATCTCTTTTTCTCCAGGTCTGTTTTTCATGTTTGATGAAACCAACCAACACTTGATTTTATCAGATTTCTGAACTTTTGCCAAGTGAATGAGTGTAAAATGCTATCTCACTAGTCACAACATGCATTTCCAAGTACTAATGAAGTTGAACATCTTCTCAGGTGTTTATGTGCCATTTACACTTCCCCTTCTCTATGAAATACCTTTTGCTAGTTTTTTATGGGTCATTTATCACTTTTGTAAAATGATTCACAGTTGTCTATAATAGATGCTATGCTTTTGTTTAGTTATATATGTTAGTAGTATCTTCTCCTAGTTTATTGCCTCTCTTTTCATGTTTAATAGTATCTTTTAAAAATGTTTTGTTTCACTATAGTCACATCTTTTTAAACTAGCTTTCTTAAATGTCTTGTCAAGAAGTTTTCCCCATAAATCATTCAGATAATCTCCAAAATATTCTTCAAAAGTTTTTCCTTTTTGTTTTTCATACTGAAGTCTCTAGCCCACTCAGAATTTATCTTTATATACACAGTGATTTAATTTCACTTTTTCCTGGTTTTGATAATTGATTATCCCACATTGAAACTTGAAATCATATCCTCCCCCAGTGATCTCCAGTGCCAGCTCAGTGACGTCCTTACACACAAATGTCTCTTTTGCAGTTTCCACCTTGTTCCAAGAGTCTGTTTGTTTCTGTACCAATACAACACTACAATAAATTACTACTGATCTTACTACGTTTAAGGCAAGTTTCCATGTTCTTTTTCTTCTGCTTTTAGAGCCTTAGTTATTCTCAAGCCTCTAATTATCTATATAAATTTCAGGATCAGTTTCTCAAGGTCCTCAAAATATTCTGATAAGATACTAATTAGAATTGTATGAAACTACGTTTTTGAAAACATGCGATAACTATATAATACTAACTTTGAAATCTCTGAACTGGAATATCTTTCTATGAAACTGGGTCTGCTTTTATGTTGCTAATATAAAAAGTGATTTTTTAAAAAAAATTATATTTTCCATTTGTTGTTGGTATATAGAAAGGCAAGTAATTCTTATTTATTCATCTTCATCCAGTCCCTTGCTAAATGTTATTGTTTGTAATAATAAGATATATAATAGTAAAAGCCAGCAAACTATTCAAATAATTCTACAATGGTAATCCTGCCAGTTGTAAATTAATAACAATTTGGGTTCACTCTCATTTTTTTTTCTATCTTTCTGTGATAGTTATGATCTCCAGTACAATGATGACTAGAAAAACTTTTAAAGGGAGTGCTCTTTACCCTTCACCATTAAAAGTCATCTTCCATGTAAGTTCTTGTTAGATACCCTTTATGAAATTAACGAAGTTCCTTTCTATTTCCATTTTTCTGAGCATCAAACATGGATACCAAATTGTGCTCAATGGTTTTCTACCTCTATGACATACTCATATTGTTTTTCCCCTTTATTCAAAAAACAAGGTAAAGGTACATTAAATTTTCTGGCACATTTCTAGACTGCTTGATCAAGATGTGTTTTCCTTATCACACAGATCTGGCTTGCTAATATTTTAATTAGGATTTTTACACCTACATTTACAAAGAAGACTGGCCTTTGATTTTCTTTTTTTGTACCATTCTTTTGTGATTTTGGAATCAAGATTATACTAACTGGAAAGTTTCCATCTTTTCCTTTTCTCTGGAAGAACTGTGTAATATTTGGAATGTTCTGTTACTTGCAAGTTTGTTAGAATCTCAATAAAACTATCTGGCCTGATGTTTTCTTTGTGGGAAGGTTTTTAACTCCTAATTCAATTTCTTTCATAGATGTAGGACTAGTCAGGCTTTTTCTTCAAGTCAGCCTTGCTAAGTTAGATTTTCCCTCAGAATCTGCCCATGCAATAGTTTGGATCTGGAGTTTCTCCCAAAGGCCCATGTGTTGAAGGCTTGGTTACCAGCCTGTCATGCAATGGGGAAGTGGTGAAACTTTTAGGAAGGAATTTAGGCCTCAGCGGTATGACCTTGGAAGGGACATTGGAACCTTGGCCCTTTGCTGTCTCTGTTTCCCAGCTTCCATGAAGTAAACAGGCTTCCTCTACCATGTGCTACTGCCATGATAGACTGTGCTGCCACAGGTCCAAAGCAACAGGGTCATACAACCTCTGAACCATGAGCTAAAATAAAGCTTTCCTCTTCTTAAATTGATCATCTCAGGTATTTTGTCACAATGATGGAAAACTGACTAACACAAAACACTTCTGTTTATATCTATAAATGATTATTACAAAGTTTTAGTTATCATATAATTTCAAATCTCTATAAGACTTGTACTTATAGCTCCTTTTAATTCCTAACATTGTTTATTTGTACATTGTACATTGTTTATTTGCTTTATTTAGTCAATCAATTTTGTCAAAGATCTGTCCATTTTATTAGGCTTTACAAAGAACCAACTTCTATCTTTATTGATCCTCTATTTTATCTTTGTTTTCTATTTAATTGATTGTTACTCTTATCTTTATTATTTCCTTTTTCTGCTTTTTTGAATCTATTCTACTGTTCTCTCACCTTATTCACTAATTTTTAACCTTACTAGTTTCTTTTCTGAGTATATAAGACTACAAATGTCCTGCTAAATTCCATTTTGTCTATCTCCCACAAAACCTGATCTGTGACATTTTCATTATCACTCAGTTTAAAGTATTTTAAATAACCACTGTGATTTCTGTTTTGCTCCAACTATGCGAAACATAATTTTAAATATCCAAATACATGACAATTTGTTTTAAAAAAAAACTTTTTTTTTATTATTAACATCTAAATTAATTGCACTAAGGTCAAAAAGATGGTCTACTTCAATGACTTTCTGAAAACTGAAATGCTTACAACTCAAAAAAATTAATTTCCCTAATATATATAAATAACTCTTACAAATCAGTAAGAAATAATGCCAAAACCTAAATTTTTAAATGAGCAAAAAGACAGTCAACACACAGAGAAATGCCTCACCAACAAATAAAAAGACACCCAACTTCACTCATAAAAAACAGACTACAAGGAACTTTTTTTTTCTTGATTTGCTCGTTGGATTGGTAAAAAAAAGAAGGACCCTACTCTGTTGGTGAGAGTATGAGGAAATAGGCAGAGCTATACACTGCTCACGAGAGTACAGACTCATGATAATAATGGAAAACAATTTAGTAATATGTATCAAAATTTCTAACACATTTTTGGTTTTATTCTGCAAGTTCATTTCTAGAAATTTCTTTTACAGAGAGATACTTACAGATCCACAAAATAATCTTTGCAGAATGTCATTCATTATAGAACTATTGGTAATAGCAAAAGATTAGAAATAGCTATCAATAAAGTACTAGTCGAATTGCTACCACTGTACAATGGAGGAGTAAGCAGCCATTTTTTCAAAAGGAATGACAATACTCTTTTATGTACCACATGTGAAAATATCAAGTGAAAATTTTAAGGAAAGAATTCTACCACAATTTATGTAAAAAAAAACCCAACTGTTATAAAAATACATATATGCACATACACGTGTGATAACTGCTTATATGCACACATACAAGGATATTCAAGAAATTAATAAGAACAGTTCTAAAGAGGGGACTTGACTGGCTATGGAACAGAAGTGAAAGGGAGAGAGATTTTAACATATATCTTTTAAAACTACACAGTACCTGTTGAAAACATATTTCTTAAAAACAGTTTTTCCTGAATTTTTTTTTTTGTACTGGAACCCAGGGTTTCATACATGCTAGGTTAGTGCTCTCCCACTAATGTACAAAAACAAAGCCTAAAAACAAATTTTTAATGTGCTTGTTAAAATAAGGTGGTTTCTTCAAGGAAGTGCCTATCCGTCTCTCAAAAGGAACATGGAAAATGAACAATTCTGGTATGGTGAAAGGGTTATTTTCTTTTAGTAAAAGTAACTTCATTTTTAACTATTCCCTAAAAGCTTACCTTTTTCGATTTGAAGTCTCCCAGTGGACTGCATAAATCCAATCCCATTATCTGCAACACACTGATAAAACCCAGAATCTTCCATGGTAACCCCAGTGATTTTCAGCCCATTTCCTGTAGTCAGATGCCGCGGGGAAGGACAAATATGCTGTGCATTATGGAACCAGGTGAGGTTGGGGGCTGGGTTCCCATGAACATCACAGGTAAAATGTACTGTGGCACCCAGAGACACTTTCTGATCCTGAAGTCCTTTAGAAATTGAAGCATGTTCTGAAAAAAAAAAAATGCACATTAAACTCTAGCCCTCAAGAGATACTTCTTAAAATTATCACGTTATACAAAATCATTTTTCTACCAACAACAAGTAGTTGAAACCAAGTTGTATTCTTTATTCACATTGCGCTATCTGCTGAGGTCATAAAGAAAACGAAATATGTATTAACTTTCATTAATAGATAAGCCATATGTGACTAATAAGTTAGAACCTCTTTTTTTAAGATTGATTCAACCACTTAGCTCCCCTAACATACATGAATATACATGAACAGTTTCTAATCCTGTGCTTCTCTTAGCACTTACTTCAGGTGATTAATTTAAAATAAAGTAACAGTTTCCCTGAATTCACACTAAACAAGAGCCAAAAATAGTTTTATTCAAAATAATAGTTTCAGGACTGGAGGAATGGCTCAAGTGGTAAAGCTCCTGCTTTGCAAGTGCAAAGCCCCAAATTCAAACCCCAGTCCCACTAAGAAAACATAAAAATAAAAAAATAACAAAATGATAGTTTCATAAATGAATGTTTTATTCATTGTAAATTCATTTTATGGTCTGAAAGCATGCCAGAAGGGAAAAAAGCAAATAGACTGATTTCTTTTTGCAATGACATTTTCTAGTCAATACTCTTAGTTACTACCACAGGATACCACACAGAGATACCATATCCCAGAGTCTTCCGCTCAGTTGAATACTAGTGTCTGTCCTCCATGCCATGTAGAATGAGAACTCATGCTCTGCATGAAGTAAGGAGACTAGAGCTGAGGTCCCCAAAAACATCTCACCCAGATACAGCCCCATTCAGTGCCCTTTAGCAAAAAGAGCCTTGTTCTGACTACCACTGTGGATATTCCTAGATATTACGTTTCATTTTTAGCTCACAAATACCTTTCAAACATCCGTTAAACCAGGAAAATGGCCTGATTCAAATTTATATTAAGTGACATCTTACCGAGTACATTAACCATGTAAGTGACATGTTTTACATCTCCAGACTTGTTGCCCACGACACAGGAATAGTTCCCAGAGTCCGCAGGGTCAATGCTTGCTGTGGCAAGATGAGAATCCAGCCTTCTCCAGTTGCTTCCCAGCACAGCATCCTGCCCGTCCTTCAGCCAATATACTTGCGAGGCGGGGACCCCACTCACCACACACTCCAGGGTTACAGGGCTATGAGGGAGAACAGCTAATGCCTGCGAAAGGGCAGGGTGAAGAATGTGAAAACCATCTGAGGAAGGGCCTGGAAGAGGGAGGGAACACAAAATATTATTAGTGAGGATTCACTTCCAATCTCTTCCTTAGCAAAGATGTGAGCATTCCCATGTTCTCACTTAATCTTTATACAACAAAATTATATGAGGATCAAAATTAAAAGATTTTTGTGGTTCTTTAAGGACTACTTCTGAATACGCTCTTGGGAGATGTAGAAGTCTAGAAACCACCTTTAATGGGTCCTGACAACTAGTGCCACCTCAACTCTAAAGCAGCCATGGTTTTTTATCATATCTGAAAGAAAACAGATGTATTTTTTCATAATTCACAACTAGCCACTAATTTAATTACCACTGCTATAAAGTTGCTCTAAAATATTCTATAACACATTAATGTAGTAACTTTCTGTAAGGCTTTCTTATGATAAAACAAGATTTGAAAAAGAAAATGAGTTCTTTCTTCTTTTCCAAGTTTTTATGAACAATGCTTTAAGGATTCTTTCTTTGCTAGGCACCATTGCTCTCCCAAATACTTACGACTCACAAGGAGCTTTCGGCCAGTGGGCTCAATTTTTAATTCATGGGTGACAGGATTGTAAACAGCACATCTGTAGGATCCCTTGTCTGCTGAGGACACATTCAAAATCTGAAGATTTCCTGATGGGAGGATGACATAATTCCCTGGGGAAGGTAAAGAGTGTAGTCAGGCCTCTCCTCTTCTGAAGACCACAGCACAACTAAAACTAGCAATAGCTCACAGTTGTGCTTTAGATTTACATGTAAGACTAGCAGCAAATAAGCAATCAAGAAAACTTCACTAAACTGAGAGAACGGGAAAGTCAAGGAAGAAAAGAAAAGAAGTCAACAGTACTGACGGAAGGAAATTGAACCCATCAGAAATATTTTAGCAAACAGAAGCATTTTGGACAATGTCCACAGCTACCACGTGGACAAATCTCCACCTCTGGCAGGGGTTAACATGGTAATCATTCATTATCTATACCTTCATTATTTTAAAAATAAACACACATTGAATAGCTATTTTCTGCCAGTCATGGCACGGGCAACAAAACATAGCAAGGCAGAAAGCAGACAAAGGCCTTGCATTGATGCAGCTAATGTTCCAGTAGGGGTAAGCAACAGCAGAGGAAAGGGATAAGTAATAAGCAAACAAAAATACATTTAACAAATATCAGGCATGATACCTCAATAAAGAAAAATGAAGATGAACACAAAGGACAGGGTGATAAGACATACTTTTTAGAGAAGACCGGGCAGGCAGGTCTTCTCTAAGGAAGTGGCATGTGAGTGAATGATTGAGGGAGTAACCTCTTGGTGTTGGGAGCACAATCACATCCTTAGTTTCCTCCACTTGACTTTGACATAATATGTGGCTTTTTGTTGTTGTTGTTTTTTAATCCAAGTCACTAGAGTTCACTAGCAGGTTATGGAATGAACGTTTGATCTGTGTGTGCTATTGTTTTTTCATAAAAGGGCTTACCTGTAGAATGTTTCAGCCATTTTCCCCGGATCTTATAGCGCACCTCAGCTTTAGGATTACTCTCTGGTACCCTGCAGCCAATGAAACCAGTGCTTCTTTCTTCTGCTGTAATAACATGCTTTGTTGAAGAATCAAAATCACCAAGAACTGAAATAAATAAGTAAAAGATGAATGAATAAATGAATGCAAAGGAAACTTAAATTTTAGAAACATCTAAAGCATGGCTGTTTACGACAGCCCCTAATGGAGCATGATCTTTTTGTTTTCTTTTCTTGTTTATTTGTTTTGGTTTTGAAGACAGGATATCGCTGTGTAGTCAGGCTGGCCTCCAACCTGCAATCCTCCTGCCTCGCCCCCATGTGATGAGGTTGCAGGTGTATGTCATTTTGCCCAGCAACATATCTCTGCTGGAGCAGAAGTGCATGGCTGAGGGCTAACAGCTAAATCATGGCACCCTTTTTTCAGAAGTTACAGCCTTCAGAAAAGAAAACAAAAAGAAGCTGCTCCTAAGATACCAAGGAGAACTATAAAGCATTATTCTCAGTCTGTCAAGATAAATCCTTTTTCATCCAGGCCTTCATCAAAACTCACTTTCCCTGTTTGTAAATACTCACAATGCAATAAAATGATGTCTGGGAATGAACCTAGGACATCATAAAACAAAACAGAATATTGTCTAAGTTACCTGCACATGCTAACTGGGTCTCAATTTCCTACAGTTTAAGCTTACTGCAGACAGAGCCTGCCTGGAAGGACTCTTTATTATCTCCAGTGCCCATGGAATCCAGCAGCCTGCCACTAAGAATTCAGCCCTCCAGTGTGAGTCTTGGAGCTGTACATGGGTCACAGCTCTACAAAAACATTTACTCTTCTCAGTTATGACAAACTCACTACTCCTGGGGAATCCAGATTTGTTCTGTAAATAGGGGTGCCTTTACAAAGACATTTTCCATTGCTGGAAGCCATCACCATTTGAAAGGCAGATGGCTCAAACTCACTAAGAAAAACCACGCATTCCAGATTTTCCATAAGTTCAATACTCAACATTCCTTTCTTTACAGTCAGTTATTTTTTTTCCTGCTTCTTGAGCCTGGTTTCAGTTAAATAAATTAAAATCACTCAGTAATCAAGGCAAATAAAACAATTAGATATGAAAGAAAGATAAAGGACAGCATGAAATAATTGAGTGTCAAGGCAACAGCTTTTTTGTTACTATTGATATTAAGGACTTTTAAAAACTCAAAAAGAAATTGTTCCAATTTCACAGTAGAAAACTGTCATGTGTAACTTTAAAAAAATTTTTCTTCAAAGTATTGTTATAGATGAAGACACGAGGCTAAGCTAACTTCAAGTATCTTTCTCCAAGTTATATGGAAGTTCAAGTCAAGGTTGGGATAAGAATACCTAATATTCCTTCATGTCTCATACCAAAAGCCTGCATTTTTCCCCACTATTTAAGAATGCAAGTACTAACAATTATTTCAAGAAAGCCCACAAATATCAAGGACCAAACTACACTCACCTGCAGTAGATACTGTTGCAGGGCCACTCACAATTGCACCAGTGCTAGTGTTGGCAATGCATTGGTAGTAACCCGAAAGGGATGGGTTAAGAGAAAGAATTGTCAGCGTCCCCTGATGAATCTTAATCTGTTCCATGTTTCCATCCAATATTTTTCCATTATGCATCCATGAGATGTGAGCAGTCATGGGTTTAGCAGAACAGTGTAGCTCTACAGGTCTACCAAGCTTCTGGACAGCAGAGAGTGGCTCAGAAAGAAAATAAGGCACCAAGTCTACAAGTGACATTCCCATATGCAAACAGAGAAGAGAAGGGAAGGAAGAGGAGGTAAAAGGAGAGAGAAAGACATGTACATTAAATGCATTTCATATGAATCTTTATAACTAAGACAATCTCATTTCTGTATATATGGTGGTTCTTGATGTTTATAAAAATTCTAGCAATTGTTTTTTTGATGGATTGGGGTTTTGAACTCAGGGTTTCCCACCTATAAAGCAGACACTACTGCTTAAGCCATACCTCAGTCCTTAGCAAAATTCTTATATGCCTATCTTTTGGAAGAAAAAAAAGTGAGTGACCTTATTAGCCTAGGACTTAACAATTAAGGTAGATCAGACAAGAATGTTTATGATATAAATCAGATACAACATTAATTACATTAATGAGAAATAACAAACTGTTCTTTTAACAAAAAAACTTGTAAAAAGTGGAAGTTAAAAACCTGAAAAAGAGGGCTGGCAGAGTAGCTCAAGTGGTAAGAGTGCCTGACTAGTAAGCATGAAGCCTTAAGTTCAAATCCCACTGCCACCAAAAAAAAAAAAAGAAAGAAAATAAAGATGACTTAAAAATAAAAAGAATCCTCTCACATTTTACCAATGGAATTTGGCTTATAAGAGCAAGTTATTTTATAAATAAAAACTTGACATTTATTTATTTTAACATAAAATAACGTTCAGCTTTTAAGAAAACATAAAATTTAGGAAGCTGCAATTGAAATATGAATTCTATCCTTTCTTGTGAATAAAACTTGATATTTTTATTTGTTTATAAAATTTTTTATTTTATTATTAGTAAAATAATACTTTATTAATATTTTTATTTGAAATAGTTTTGTTTGTTATGTCTATTCTTCCTGGAACTTGGGCAAGGAGGGGTGGCTCTTCCACTAAAATAAAGCCTTCTCCTCTTCCTTCCCAAAGATAGGGAAGGGGGAAGCAGGAATGCTATTAATATGATAAATAAAATACTTTAAAAAAAGAATCAATAAACTGTTGAGTTTCCCTTTACTGGTAACGTAATCTTCAGAAATGATTAAAGATTAGAGGAAACACCTCTCTTGGCTAAATCTGGAATTGTTGTTTAGCAAAATATAAACAGAAATAAAATCTCTAAATCAAATTTTCCCTTACCCAACCTAATATAGTTATAAAAGTATTTTTAATAGATAATAAATATTACCCACGGACTGGAATGTGGTTCAAGCCATGGAACACCTGCCTAACAAGCATAAAGCCCTGAGTTCAGACCCCAATACCACATTAAAAAAAAGCTATCGACTAAAAATGAGTAAAGAATATAAATAGTCAACTCACAAAATAAGAAATAAATAAAAGACGTTCAGTTTGGCCTGGCGAGGTGTGACTCAAGTCATATAGCACCTGACTAGCAGGCACAAAACCTAAGTTCTGCCAAAATAAATAAGTAAATAAATGACTCAATAAATAAACAGCACTATATTTGTATATACTTATATTTATATCTTTACATAAGTCTAAAATAAAAAAGAAATGCATGTGGGCTATGTATTAGGCTTGAGGCTTGCATACGTTTAACTATAATCACATTTAAGCTTTACAGTGACCCAGGGGAGTAGACAATAAATTAGGCAAGGTCATGAGAAAAAGTGGCAGACCTGGGGTTTGAACCAGGTTCTCTCACGCCAAGTTGAACACTATGCCATAATGAGTCTAAAACTCTTTAGTGGTACATAGTCAGTATTTTATTCTGATTGTCATTTCCAAATTCAGAAATTTGTAACCTATCCCATTACTAAAAGAAGCATGATTGGAGAATATTTTTAAGACCCCCTTCTCTTAGGGAAGCACCCCTAAGAGATCCTTACCTTGCTTAATTAAGTTTTTAGATCACATAGCTGATCAAGCAAATCTTAGAAAGATCTTTAGAAACTGCCATTATTGGCAAAATATTGCAGTCAAGATTTTTTCTTCATAGGATCAACACAGAGAAAAGCTTCAGTCCAAACCCCACCATTCTCCTCTTACCTGAACTCACAGAAGAACACAGAATCACAAGAATAACATATAGCAATGTTCCTAAGGATCCAAGATCTGGATGCATAGCGCCCAATTGCAGAAGCAGGCAGGACAGATTTCCAGACAAAATCCAGGTCTTGGCTCACTAGAAAGCATTTAAAAAAAAGAGAGAGAAAGAAAATCTAAACCATAAAATGATTGAAATTATTAATCTGGACAACTGGAGTCATAAACAAGATGGCAACCCTCGACTTTGACAGCTCTGTATAAAGTGCATCAAATCCTAGGCACTGACTGATCCACGCTTTCCAAGTCACATAGGGATCGATCTATACACACTAGAGTTAGAAGTTTTGCTCACTCTCCCTTTTATTAGAATGCCTTTTATTATAGATAACTAATCATTCTAAATGAATGTATTCAACTGCCCGAGTACATTTCAAGTTATACCTCTCACCAGCATCTAAACACAACCAACATGTATTCCTCCTCTATATTCCCCGAAACAGCAATGAAAACAACAAAATCACAGCTGACACTTACAATGTGCTAGTCCTTCTAATATACTAATTTAATCTTCACAAGAACCCTATGACATAGGCGCTACTAGTTCCCTTTCCTTTTTTCAAATGGGAACCTCAGACTTGTGAATTGTTGAAACAGAAAGAACATCAAGTGCAGAACTGTGTTGGAATTGAACTTAGCACTCCATGGTAGGAGTGCTAAGAGTGATAAGGGATGAAGGCAGAGGGAAAAGCTGAGTGAGCAAATCCAGCACTGAAGGCCAAGGTTCTGAGACTTACTCTAAACACACCAGAAAGCCCTCTGAGGGCTTGGAGAAAGAAAGTGACATGATCTCATTTGTTTTAAAAAGATCACCAACTGATGGAAGACACACAAAAGTGAGACGGGTGTAAAAGAGGAAGAGCAATCAGGAGATACTGTAGCACCCCCAGGAGACGAATGAGGGCATGGTGGGTGAGAACAGCTGGTTGTTAACTATGGAAACAGTGAAAATCAATTGGATTCAGAACTCTCATACAAAGTACTATCGTTTGAACTCAGGACCTCACGCTTGCTAGGTGGTTGTTCTACAACTTGAGCCCTTTTTGGCTTTTTAGTCATTTTTCAGGTAGGGTCTCTTTTTGACCAGAGCTGACTTCAGATTATGACCTCCTACCTTTATTATTTATTATTTGCTTTAAAAAAAGTAGTGAAAAAAATCTCAGCGTCATCTTTAACCCTAGCATACGACTTACTTTACAGCTGCCTTTTAAAGTTATACAGCTCATTGTTGCTACCTAAATACTATCACACAGGAGTCTCCTTTAAGTCTGTCTTTCTATTGGGTTCTCTTAACATGTTCTCAGTTGATTCTGGAAGTTGGAATGTACTGATGGCCATCAAAGGCATTTACTAAATATTTGTTGACCTAGCTTCCTTTTATTCATGGCAAGCTTGCTCAATTTGTTGGAGAACTATGATAATGAGAACACAGAGTTGTCTTCTGTTGTTTACAGTTCAGATGGTTTGAAATAAAAGTCAACAGCCATCAAGAGAACATCAGATGAAACTTCATCAATGAACATCACAAACCACACAGAAGGTGAGAGATGCACAAATCAGAGCAGAGCCACTGGCACTACTGGAAAACCACTCAATGCCATGTCATTTTCAAAAACGGAAATCTTTGGGCTGGAGGCATGGCTCAAGTGGTAGAGTGCTTGCCTAACAAGCATAAGAACAAAGCCCCAAGTTTGAACTCCGGAATCAAAAAATAATAACAAAAAAGGAAATCCTTAGAGATATTAGTGTTATTGACATTTAACTGGTAATTTATTAGAAAACCAAACACACACACCCCTTCTACATTGCTCTGGCAGATGAACAACTTTGGCCAAGATTATCACAACTAAACAAGGTTCCCATCTGGCCTTATTATGCATGTCATCTCTGTCACCCACAGGAATTTACCTTGGAGAGACAACACTCCTTTCCACCTCAACACAGTTGTCATCCTACCCTCCTCTGACCTTCTCTTCTAAGCTGGAAATACTGGCCATCAGAGGAAAGATCCACAGTAAGAACAAACCAATTCACTCCTTACCACACGCCACTTTGGCACATCGTTTGCCAAAAGTTGTTTGACCTCTGCTCCTACATATGTAGCACGACATACTTTCATATAAAAATTAAAAACAGAATTCTGACTTAAGTCACATCAGATGGAACAGAATTCTGATTGAAATCACATTGTCATTTTCTAGACTACAGTGTTTATCTCAATTATAACTTTTTTAAAAAATCCGGTGTTGTAACATAATGCCTGGTATTATTTTAAACACAATATTCAAGATTTTCCCCACATATTTGACAATGACTATGTTACTTTTCTAAGTGGAAAATTGTTAACAGAAAGCTTCTACAAATATTCATTGATTTTTAAAAGGTTACATATTCAGTTTACAATGTGGTAAAATACACAAGTGTATTTAAGAAAATTAAACATGACAATTCCACCACCTACAGATAATATTTTGATGCACTTCCCTCTAGTCCTTTTCATATATGTATATATTTACATAATTGAGATCTTAACACATGTAAACTTTATGTTCAATAATTTACTATCTAATGATCATTTTTTCCTTTTTAAAATCCTTCATGAACAGCTGCAATACTCTATTGGATTGATGCATTTTAATCTACTTAACCTTTTGGATAGTTAAGCTACTTTTTAATGTGTGTGTGTGTGTGTGTGTGTGTCTGTGTGTGTGTACTTTTTTTGCTATTATAGGTAATGCTGCCATGAATTTTATTGCTCATAAATCTTTAGCCACCCTTCAAATTATGTCCTTAGGTTAGATTTTGAGAAGTAGAATTACTGGATTAAGGAGTACAAACATTTTTAAGACTCAATATATATCATCAAGTTGTTTCCCAAAAAGAAGCCACCAGTCTGCAACCCAACCCCCAATAATCACCATCAGCATATGAGGATAACTTCCCCATCAGAATATGGCATAGATCTTTACACTATGAAAAGCAAACTGTGGTTATAAAACATGACTAAGCAATTAATTCAAGTACTTAGTAAGGCATGAAGCAAAGTTCACTGTCTAATCTATTAGAAATTTTTCCACCAACATCCTAAACTTAGATAAAAGTAATGCAAAATGAGTCAAAGTTCTGAACACTGCTGCCACAGGTCAATCTCTGACATTCCAATTACAAAAAAACAAGATGCAACATCTGCTTTTTACCCCAAATCCCTTACAAAGTAGAATAAGGGGTTACTATTGTTATACTGTGTGGTTTTACTTAGTAAACATGTATTTCTCTAAAAATAAATTTGTATGCAAAAACTGCTGACACTTCATGGGAAATTTGCTGGCATTCATACCATAAATTGCTATGCATTACAAAGCTATATGCTCCCTTCCCTACTGCTTTTCTTGTCTATACACCATAAACACATATATATCACAGGTGTATACAGACACATACACATATAGATGTATACCTTTAATTCCCTAACTTGTAGAGGTAGTTAAATAACTTAAACTGGGCTCACTTCCTTATTTTAGGCTTATCTCACTCACTGGTCTTAGAAGGAATCTAACTAGGCAAAAGTTCTTCCTTCTCCCAGCTCCTTCATATCTTTAGGTGAAATTCAAGGCCATCCTTAAATCCACTGCAGTTCTGAGTGGCTGATCTAAGTATCTGAGAAGATGCTTAGTAATCAATTCGCTACCAGGAAAGCCCCTGGTAGGACAGTCTCTCCAAGGAAAAGATTGTAGAGTGCCCCCACCCCACAAAAAATTGAGCAGGTAAGTGCAGTATTCCATGAAACCTACAAGCCCAGACAACTCTTTTCCCCAGGCTGAGGAAATCTTTGGAGAGCTTCCCACTTAGGTCTGACAGAGTGATGCTTCTTTAATTTCTGTTGTTACAAAGAAGAGCTGGTATTTCCTAAGTTATAGAGCTTTCACCTTTACCTCCCATTTACACAGAAGGCAATCTGTGGCATGTAACAAACAGTACTTTATATGCCATCCCAAGCTTAGGAGCATTTCTGCCCAGTGATAGAAAGCAAGCTAAAGGTATTCCTGATCTTAGAGTAAGAAAGGAAATACTTCCCTAACGTTTACTTAACTCATTGTTCAGGTTGTGAACTTACTGCTTTTATAACCCCTTTTCAACATGCTGCCAGAATAATCCTTTGGGAAAAGTTCTTCCTGAATTTTTAGGTTTGATTACTTTGTTTTTGAAGCTTTGCCCTTACTTTCCTAAGAATAACTCAGGCTCTTTCTGAATTATCCCCCTCCCTAGACTCCTAGAACATACTTTCTCATAACTTTGTTTTTCGAGTTTAGGGAATAACTGTCATTAATTTGTGAACAAAAATTTGGCTTTGGGGTCAGCACAGTTCATCATAATAGAGAATTCCTGAAGTTAGTTTTCTTTTTAAAGGAATCTCATTCTGCATGAAACATGGTGATTTACTTCTTTTTTTAAAAAAAAGATTATTACTTTCAAACAATCTATTTCAAAAGATGCTATTTACCAATTGGTGAGAAAAACTGTAGTAACCAAAACAAAAACTAAAATATGCCCACATAAAAATTCATGATTAAGTGCAATCAAGATTAATCCAGCATAGTTTCTATTAGGGAAGTCAAATGCCCAATATACTTTGTTTCCTGAGACAGGGTCTCATTGTATAGCCCAAATAGCTTCAAACTCAATCTTCCCACATCCACCTCCCAAGGTTCCCCTCTTGCTTCCAGGCAGAACCTGTTCTGCATTTTTCTCCAGTTCCGTTGAAGAGCAGACGTAAGCAATAATAAGAAAAACATAGCATTTTTGCTAGTTGAGATAAGGACAGCTATACAGAGAGATTCCTAGCATTGCTTTCATGTACAAATGTGCTGCAACCCAGGTTGATTCATCTCTAACTGATCTTTACACTGGTTCCTGATCCCCTTCTTGTGTTGACCTCTGTCGCTTTAAGGTTTCTGTATTAGTTCCTCTGGAGTGGGGACATCAAATGCTTTCATGTTTTGGGTTTTCTATCTAACCCCGTACCTCCCTTATATGTTCTCCCCATGTCACATGACCCAAGTCCTACAATATTGCTGTATTTGCCCTAGATCTAAAGTCCACATATGAGGGAGAACATACAATTTTTGGTCTTCTGAGCCTGGCTAACCTCGCTCAGAATGATGTTCTCCAGTTCCGTCCATTTACTTGCGAATGATAAGATTCCATTCTTCTTCATCACTGAGTAAAATTCCATTGTGTATAAATACCACATTTTCTTAATCCATTTGTCAGCAGTGGGGCATCTTGGTTGTTTCCATAACTTGGCTATTGTGAATAGCGCTGCAATAAACATGGGTGTGCAAGTGCCTCTGGAGTAACCTGAGTCACATCCATTTGGGTATATCCCCAGGAGTGGGATTGTTGGATTATATGGCAGATCTATGTTTAGATTTTTAAGAAGCCTCCAAATTTTTTTCCAGAGTGGTTGCACCAGCTTGCATTCCCACCAGCAGTGTACAAGGGTTCCTTTTTCCCCCCATCCTCGCCAACACCTGTTGTTA